ACTTTGTTTTCCTGAATAGATTTGTTGTAAATAAGCGACAGAGGTTTGGAAATTTGATCACATACAGATTGAAGGAGAGGAACTGTAAACCCATCCACTCCTGGAGTTGGTGATGGTTTCATCTTCTTAATTTTGGCTTTGATCAATTCAGGAGTAAATGTAACATTGTCGAGGGTTGAGGTGCAGGGAAGTCTATTCATTATGGGTATGTTTTGTATATCTTCTTTAGTGTACACAGTACTGAAGGACTTGTTCAGGATTTCAGCCATATCAATACTTTCAGAAATGACTTGGCCCTGATCATTAATCAGTGGTCCAACTCCTGATTTGTCTTTTGATCTTGATTTAACATAAGAGTTAAAAGCTCTGCTGTTCCTGCTATTATTTGCTAATTTTTTTTCAAGATTTCTTTTTGCATTTCTGATAGAATTTTGTACTTGTTTTTCGCATTTCTTGTACTCTATATAAGTTTCATTGTCTCTGTGCATCTTGTAACTTTTCCAAAGTCTCCTTTTTTTGTTAATGTTTCTTAGGATAGTTCTAGTCATCCATCTTGGTTTTGAGTTGGATTTCTTGGTTTGTTTTGGTATAAAGGTGTTGACCAGAGTATTAAGCTTATCTTTAAATATATTCCAGGATCCATAGGTATCACATCCATCAAACTCTATGTTCCAATCTACTTGAGCAAGGTCCCGGTTAATAGCATTATAATCACCCTTATTCCATTTGAAGTAGGTCTCATGATTATGGGTTTCATTACATTTGAACAATAACTCAAAATAAATCAGGCAATGGTCGCTTTTTCCTAGTCTTCCAATCTCTTCTACATTAATGAGTTTTTCTGGGATATTAGTAAGGATAAGGTCTAAAATGTTTCCTTTAATGTGAGTAGAGAATTCAATTACCTGTTCCAATAGCATGTCTTGTGCAGCCTCTACAAAGCTAGCACTCTTTTGATCTGAGGTTAGATTTTTCCAGTTTATATTTGGGTAATTGAAGTCACCAATTATTACAGTGTTGGGTTTAATTAGCTTCAGAAGTTCACATAGTTTTTCATTGTTGATATCCAAAGAATTTGGAGATCTATAGATACATAATAGATTGATTTCACTATCAGCAGACTTTACGGTAAAATAACAATATTGGTTAAATGTTGAGTTTGGTTGGTTATGAGATAAAATAGTGAGTCCATTTCTTACATATATGAGTATACCACCACCCCTTCCACCATTGGTGTCACTGCGGTCTATTCTCAGGGTAGGATCTATAAAGTATCCAGGTATGTTGAGCAGGGTGTTAGTTATAGAAGGATTGCACCAGGTTTCAGTCAAAATAATAAGATCAGGTTTTATTTCATATGCAACACCCTGGAGTTCATTAATTTTATTCTGTAGACTTTGAGCATTGGTGTAGGCAATCTTTAATGTCTGGTCCTCTGGGATGGAATTTCTTCCTCCAAGTTGTCTGTTTCTTTCCGTTTCCGTGACTCGGTTCTGGAAGCTTGATATGTGTTCGTGGTCTTTACTCGCCCTCGTCCTCTGCCACCCCGGGTAGGTTGGGTATGAGGTTGGTGAGATTCCTTCAGTCTTGGAAGTTTTAGAAGTCTCTTCTCTCCTTTTGGTCCAACCAGCCTCCATTCGTAGTTTAAAGATTCCTCTTTATCCATGTTGCTATTTCTAACTTCAGCTTCTTTCCACATGTCTGATTCTTCTGATCTTTGTTGCTTTGTCAAATCTGGGACAATACCAATGTTTGAGTAGTCAGGATTATTACGAAGTTGTCTAGCTTCTGATAACATCTTGTCCCTGGTTGCGGCAGCATTTTCTCTAAAACCAACCAGGAGTGGTCGGGGGGTATCAGAGTCATTTCTTGGTCCAATTCTGGCTGAGAATTTTATATCTTTGTCTGCATCAATCCTCAGACCTAACACATTTCCTATCTTTGAAATTGTTGTGAGGTCTTCCATTTTTCTATCTTTCCCATTCTTGATGCTATCATCAGGTTCTGTAACATTGTGCATTACTATATTCATTTTTTTAGCATTTCTCTCTGCCAATTCAGCAAATATTTCCTTCTTAGTTGCTATGAGATCCTTGGTTTTATCTTCCTTGAGTTTAGACACATCTTTCTTGACACAATCAACATCCTTGGTCACATCCCCCACAGTGTCTTCAACTGTGGTTACTCTATCTTCCATTGCATCAAGCTTTGCATATAATGTGGTAACCTCTTTCATGAGCTTAGTACGAACCACTATGCAGGTTTCGCATGTCCAGGTGGCTCCTGATTCCTGGGATAGAAGAACAGCCAGGTAATCTTTACTTATTTTCACACAGTCAGGGTGGGCCCAGAATTCACATACAGTGCACTGTATGGAAACCTGTCGGTTTGTGATGTGTACCCCACATCCCCTACAGGGGTAATTTGCCTTGTTTGTTGGGGGCATTTCTATAAGATTGGTTAAATTTAACCCAAAGTATTACACGTAGTTAGGAGAAGAACGATAAAATAAAATAACTTAGTGCCTCCCCTGTGGAACTAGTGAGTATTCCGATGGGGTGCCCTCACGGACCTCTTGGTACTAAGTTATATACTAAACAATGATGAACTAAACTGAGTGGGTTTTCTGATTTTTTTTTGATTTTTTTATGATTTTTTTTGATTTTTTTTTTATGATTTTTTTGATTTTTTATGATTTTTTTTCTTTTTTTTTCTTTTTTTCTTTCTTTTATATTTTTTTTCTTTCTTTTTTTTCTTCTTTTTATCTTTTTTTTCTGTTTTTTTTTTTTTCTTTCTTTTTCTTTTACTTATTTATTTATTCCTTATTTTTTTTTTTTAACCTTCTTTTGGTGAACAGAAATTTATCTGTCACCTGCTCAGTACAAAGACTGTTCATGCAAAATTATCCGGGGATAATAGTACACTCACAGACTACCCAGTATAAAATTATCCGGGGATAATAAGATACTGGTAGGAACTAGTTTTGGATAGTTTTTTTTTTTTTTTTTTGATAATATATCCCTGACCTCGTTTCAACTTAAAATGAAGGGTGTACCGAGTAATATTTTAAGGCTAGAAGATAGTTGTGATTTTACTTAAGAGTGAATGATACTTTGGGTACACCCAATCCTGAGGAGGTAAAAAGTCCTGGCCACCGATACTAGGTCAGGACTTATTCAGAACAGACACCCTCAAGTTCTCTGTCAGTCTAGATAAGAAAAAAAGGCGGCAGTATCTCTTTAAGTCTTCAGCAAATTAAAGTAAATATAGGACTAAGTGTCCAGAAAAGAAAAGAAATCACTTCTATGTATTCACTAAATGTTTGTTCATAGGGTAGCCATTTTAAACACTGCCATTTTCATCACTGCCATTTTTAATTGTACAATGTTTTCAGTTTTAATTAGAGGGAGAGACTGCAACTCCTTACAATACTTTCACTTTTATTGTTCAAGTTGTTTTAAATCAAGGATGTAGACACAGCCACAATATGCTTGGTTCACTTCCAAAGGGGAAAACTAAAGCTGGTGCACGCTGGCACCCTGGACTGCCATTTTTTTCTGAAACCTCTTCTAGAAGTGAATCAAGCAATATAAGCCCGGTCGTTTTGTAAACCTAATTTTAAAAGTATGATTTAATAAAAACCAGAGTCCTGGCATTTCAAAAATGTGGTCAGCCATTTTTTACTTTGAATAATACCGGAGTTGAATTCAGATTTCGACAATTTTGGTTTTATTTAATATAATAAAAAAAACCTGAACGAAATTCTGAATAAAATCCTAATATTTAAATATGAATCCTAAACAAAATTCACACTCGGATACACACAAAGTGGCTTTAGTTCGACCCATGAGCTCTCAAACCTGCAAGACATTATACTTTGACTTATTATTATTAGTATTACCAATCAACCTACAGTCAAAATATCATGTCCTATAGGCAGGCCCAATGTTAATAGTAATAATAATACAGTTTCATAGCGATGGAATTCCAAAATCACTAGGCTATTAGGTCGCTTCGCCCCCATCATCTGACTATTTTTAACTGTTGCTCAATCTCTTAGCATTTTTTCTTAAATGAAACAATTTTTTTTGTGGATTTACAATTTTTTTAGTGAATTTACCATTTTTTTGTGCATTTTAATTTTTTGGAGACATTTCATTGTAATTCTGAGCATCCATAAACCTTCCCTGGTGGCATGTGAGGCCCCACACAAAATTTTGGGCCTGATCGGTTAAGCTGTTTTGACGTTTATTGGACACAAACAGACAACAGACAAGCAAAGTGAAAAATAAATTGTGGTTTGAATTTGTTTATTACAATTTTGTTGATATTAAGGAATGAGTGATATCCCTGATCTGTTTGATATCGGATTGAGTAAGGAGACTCTGAGAAGATTTATTGGACTCAAATCTACCGTTAATCCTGACCCAGAATTTGGAACTTCTAAGACATTGAATATCGTCGTTGATTCTAAGACTACTGAATATGAGGTAGGGGACATAAATATGTGACATCTTATGACACATTTTTGGTCTTCTGGGATACCCACAAAGGATACGACTGTAAAGACGACCTGAAACTCTGTAACTATGACGTTTCTGTCGTTAAATCATGTCATAAATGTCTTTTAATGGTCTTTAATTGATTGTTAAATACAGTTGCAGGGAATCCTAAATATAGAGAAACAGACAGTGTTAATTCCGTCCAGTTGTCTCTTGAAGTCTCATCCTTTAGGGGTAACCCTGAATTTGCTTTCCAATTCATGTAATTTCAAATACCAATAGCGGAGGGGCTTGTGTTTTGTGAAGTGCGTCTGGGGAACCAAATTTAATGAATAGCGAGAAGTTGTTTCAATCCGTAGACATAGTTGAACCACTCCTTTTTTGTGCCGCAGGTTTATGTTGAAGGAAGTGGTTCAATTAAAGTTATATGTTACTTACTTGATACTTAAGAGGTAAAAGCGTTACATACGGGTTACTTACTTGATACTTAACAGGTAATTCTCCGTCTTCCATCCATGAATGTCGAGAATACCTTGATTCTCCGTCTTCCATCCATGAATGTCGAGAATATCTTGATTCTCCGTCTTCCATCCAGGAATGTCGAGAATATCTTGATTCTCCGTCTTCCATCCATGAATGTCGAGAATATCTTGATTCTCCGTCTTCCATCCATGAATGTCGAGAATATCTTGATTCTCCGTCTTCCATCCAGGAATGTCGAGAATATCTTGATTCTCCGTCTTCCATCCAGGAATGTCGAGAATATCTTGATTTCTTCAAATGTGGTCTTATGTATTAAAGATACTTCAGTTTTTCTCATATTAGCAGCCACTCCATTCTCATTGATTCTTATCATACAGTTGTTTTACACTATAGTGGATTTTTTGGCATGTTTAGATTAGGACTATCTTGATTTAATTTTGTGAATTACTCTCTCTCTCACAAAAAAAAATTAAAAACCAGTATTCTTGTCAACATTGTCAAATCCATTGGCAATCGGGAGGGAGGAGGGGGGGGGGGCTGGATGTAGATTTTTTTTGGTTTTTTAATCGTTATATTGTTGGATAAGATTCAAGAAAACAACTCTTTCCTTAGGTTAGAAAATGAAGTTTGGTACTTGCGCTTTCTGAAATATTAATTATAGGGTGAGGAGAATAAAAAGGTTCCTGAGATCGAGGATAGTTTATGCCTAGAACCCCCTGCAGCTGCTGGTTCGAATGAAATTAGTTTTTTTTTGCCATTACCAATACTACATTCAAGTGCATTCAATATTACTCAGGATACAAGGTTAGCATATTCCCCCTCTTCCCAACCCCCCTTCCTCCTTCCTCCGCCCCATTCCTAAAAAATATTTTTTCAATAATTTTCAGATTTTTTTGCACGTCAGAACGTATTTTTGTGAGAAAAGTTCAAAGAAAGGTTTTCCTTCTAAAAGTTTCTTTTTGAAATAAAGTCTTGTCCTTTTTTTTAAGCATAAAGTCCTTCCCCCCTCTTCTCCTTATTATCATACTTTATTATACTTAATATCATATTCACAAATAATTATTTTACTGCTTTGCATCAAGCATTTAGTACTGAGAGGAAGGTTTCCATCATCGGATGTTGGTGTAACAATATGAATATTAAGTTGTTTATATAACTTTTATTTTTTTTTACCCCACGACACCCAGGGCATTGAAAGTTATTCGTTTAAACGTCTACTCCTGGTTTTTTTAAATTCAATCTTATTTTTCATTTTGAAAAATCATTTAATTACAACCTTTCTCATGTTTAATATCTTCAAATTATTCAATGACTTAAAAATTATTAATTTAAGTTTTAATAGTAAGCATTGCTGTAATAAATTAGTAGTAGTAAAAGTAGAGGGGGGGGGGGGTAAAGGAAAAATGATTATTAAAGAAAATGTCTACTTTAAAACTAGTTTTTGAAAAAATGAAGCGTTAGATAGAATTTAGAGGTATTTTTATTTAGTGGAAGTCCTGTATTTGCTTCCAGAAGGGAGAAACCTAGGTAATTATTATACTTTTTTAAGATCAGTAAAGGTGGAGATATATTTTTTCATTTTTTCAATACCGGTCATAAATGCTGATTAAACCTTTCCTTTAAGAGTTAATCCTATCATAGAGCACTAATCCGTTCCTAAAATTAGAGACCAATAAGAGGTATATTGGTTCATTACAAAATCAAGGGATTTAAAAACCATTCGATATATTATGCACAAATTAAAATAATTGTCTATTTTAGCAGAATTGAAAATTTCCGTCGTGGATATCAATTATTATAAATGGTGTTACAGTTTTTATTTTCTCCAGGAAAGAAACGAACTTTGAGCTCTCTCCACTTCACAGACAAGTCATTCCACCCAACTTAGGTTAGAAGACTTAAAAGGACTGTAAATGTAATTTCAAGTGACCCTCTATGTAAAAAGGGGAACGTCCGAATCACAACGATATCCTGAAAAACCTTGTCTGATTAAAGAATGATTCATAAATCTTTAATTTTGTGTTTGAAAACTGATTATTTTCATTGGTGGAATCTCTTTAAAAGAAACTTGCGCATTTCGCGTTTATGAAACAATGAAACTTTAACAGAATTGAGCACTTTTCATGGTAGAAAAACGAGATTTTCTTCCATATTTTTGATCAGTCAATAGTTTTAGGGTATCACTGTGAATCAGGCATGTCGTTCTTTAAATGGCGGACCACTTAAAATTACAATGAACAGGGTTATTATTATTTATTATTTATATTATTTATCAACAAAATAAATACCCCTAGTTTGCTGAAATAGCAACAAAATCTTATTAATCTGTGTTTAATTAATTGATTTTAAAAGTTTAATTTGGTTGTTTATTTATTTTATATCGTGTTTAAATTCAAATATTGCTTTCTTTATATCTCAAGTTGAATGGTCATTTATATCATCCTAAGGTTTCTGTATTAAAGTATAAAATAAAGGGAATTTTAAATAATTTAATAGAAACATTGGAAAAAAACATTAATATTTGTCTGTTTAAGTTTAAAGATCAAGTTTGTAAATTAAAAATATTCAAATTTATATAGATTTTAGATTGAGCTACTTTATCAAAATTATCAAATCACGTGTTGCCTAGGATGTCTTTTAGTACGCAGATATTCTTTATTCAAATAAGAATGCCAATTTTTTTTTTGGAGAAAATGTCAGGGGTGTAAATTTTCTCGGAAAGGGGATGGTGGAGTTGGCATGTTTGGTGTAGAAGTTCTACATTTGCTGAATTGATTTTCATTTTTCTCATATGAAAAATATACACCCCTGCCAAATGTTTAAATTTAGGACAAGAGCAGAGTCCTGAAACCCCTGTACTCCAATCTGTAAATATAAAAGAGAACCTGACGACTAAGGTAAATAAACATTTTTAATCATTTATGACAAATCGACATCAATCGTTTAAATAATTGATTTGCAGATTTATTGATATTTAATTTGATTAAGTTTCATTTTCTAATTTATTATTCAATTAAGAACTAATTTGACTAAAGATCACTTTTATTTTATATTGTTTTTCTTGACATTTTTTGCAATAATATTTTCTTCCCTAGCTTGTGAAAAATTAATTTTGAAAAAAGAAAGAAATATAACAGAAGTTATAGTGGTTTGTTTTATGCCTTTATTTATTTCTTTCGGAGTCAAAATTTGGCATTGTGTAAAATCAAGAAATGTTCTCAAAATTGTCAATTCTAAGCTTCTCTTTCTATTTTCCAAATTTGGACCCTGAAACGCAAACTTTAACAGAATACAGTTCTATAATCTTGAAAGTTGAATTGTTTAAGAAGAAATAAAAACAAAACAAAAAACATGAACAGTAATTCTGAAATTAGGCTGCGGAAAAATCAGTAATGAGAGTTTCCTCCCCCCGACTTGAGACTAAATATTTACAGGTGAACATAACTTCAATTCTTTTTAATAACTCAATATTTGGTTTGGTTGGATTAAATTAAAGTTTCCTCCCCCCTTCTTGAGACTAAATATTTACAGGTGAACAAATAACTTCAATTCTGTTTACTAACTCAATAATTGGTTTGGTTGGATAAAATTAAAGGGACTGTAAGCGTAAATTCAAGTGACCCTCCATGCAAAGATGGCAACGCTAGATTCACAACGGTTCCCCTTTAAACCTATTAAAAATATGTAAGATATTTCCTTTTTTGAGGTTTAATTCCTATAATTTCTATGAGTTTTCCTGCAGTAGAAATGCGACAGCCCCTTCTGTAGGGACAGCCTAACTGAAGATGATCAGTGTTCAAAATTATAAATACGGATTTATAGTTCATACTTGATCAGACAAAGCTTTTAAGAGCATTGTTGTGAATCGGACATCACTTTCTTTGCACGGACGTTTAATTAAAATAACGCTTACAGTCCCTTTAAAATATGTCATATTTTAGAAAGCTGAACCGGAACCTCTTGTTACCCCGGAACTGCAAGCTTTGAAGATAGGTAATTGTTTATTTATATTTACAGACATTGTCTGTCTGTTTTTTTGATAATAAAATTTGGAACAGGTGAACTTTTTATCTAATAAAAGTCGACATGTTTTTTTCATTCTGCAAAATTTTTTGTTTATTGGAAAATGATGATAGAAGAATAGTGACTTATAAAACAAAAGATAGGTAGTGGGTACGCCTAGTCTAAATAAAAAAGGATAATATTGTCATTTGTTTCTCTTCTGAAAATTATTAATTCTGTCATTTTTCTTCCTGTGCAAAAAAACTGCAGAACTACAATTGAAAATTATCACTTTTTAGTTGACATTATATCAGTCATCCTTTAACTGATAAAGATGTAAAGGAAGTTTAAAGGAACAGTTTTATTACAAAGCACTTTTAAAAACACAGGGGCGTACGAGAGCATTTATGTAGGGAATGGGGGGGCACATTTTGCGCGCAAAATTTTTTTTAAGTGACCCTTCTTAAAAACCCAAACTTAGATACAATATTGATACCTTTGACAATATATTACAAATAAATTATTTATGTGTGCCCCCCCCCCCTGGTACGCCCCTGTAAATACACCTGATTATTTGGGACAATTCGGGCTCAATTTCTTTCAGTGGTTTCTGTAAACAAGTTTTATTTCAGGAAGTGTAGAAACCCCTGAAACACCTGTTCTTGAAACCATCAATATTAGAGACTATCTTAAGAAGAAGGTAAACTCTTGGATATCAAGATAAGTGCTTAATCATGATCTTGTTTATTTGTAAATTAATCTAATTTTTCGATATCCCACACGGTTGCGTACCCCGGAGAAATAACTGAAAAGACATTTAGGACAACTACAACCCGTCTATCCCAGTCACTCCCTTTAATAAAGATCATGATGATTTGAAAGGAAATTTGATCCTCTGATATTGAACATAAAAACTAAAATACCAGTGGTAAAGAACTTGGAAAATATACGCACAGGATTTTTATTATTATCATTATTGTCATTCAACCAACAGTCAATGTATCATGTCCTGTAGGGTATGTTACGTTGAGCTCCAGGGTTGAGCTCCAGGGTTGAGTTCCAAGGTTGAGTTCCAAGGTTGAGCTCCAGGGTTGAACTCCAGAGTTCAGCTCCAGGGTTGAGCTCCAGAGTTCAGCTCCAGGGTTGAGCTCCAGGATTGAGCTCCAGGGTTGAGCTCCAGGGTTGAGCTCCAAGCTTGAGCTCCAGGGTTGAGCTCCTCGCCACTCCCCCAAGTCAGCTTGGGTTTGTGAATCATATCTGACTTGAATGTTTTTTAGGATTTATTAGGTCAAATAAGTCAGGAGACAGTAAATTGCCGTTGATTGGGATTTTAATGAATTTTAAAACGGGGTTTTAGAAAAAAAATATATTCGTCTGTTTTGTCAAAATAAATGTTTCTCAGGAGCAAGAACTTAGAGCTAGCAACACTCCAGAAAAACAAAATGATAAGAAAGGTAATATTTCAAATATCTTATTTATTTTATGGCCCAGGATGTCAGTTAGGATAAATCAATTTTCTTAAATTTTCAACAAAAAAATCATTGAAAAAACAGTGCTTAGGATCTGGATCGTTATGTGTAAAAAATCGAAAAAAGATAAATTTTTTATTAAACTTTTATCGTTTAAAAAATTAATCAAATCTTAAAGATATGTTCAAGGCCTGAAACTGTTTCCGGTTTTGGATCCGGATCCGGATCTTAAGCGCTGGAAAATGGAAAATGTGCTTAATATAAAAATTTGTTTAAAAAATACGGCAATGCTCGTATACGAGGCAGTTAATTGATTTTAAAATCTTTACTATGAAGACAGGAACAAAGCTCCCTGGCAGTTTAGAAAAAATTATATTCCATTGCTATGATCCAAAAATACGTGAAAACTAATAAAATCATGACTTTCTTATGCCGAAGAATTGTACTAAATATTTTTGAGATTTTTTTTTTGGCCGGCCAAAGCTACCCGATTGGACTAGGCTACGCTTCCTTGAAAGTATCAAAACATTTGTTTAGATCTTGGCATCCCTTTATCTCCTGAAACCCCTGTTCTACAAACTATCAATCTCAGAGAATATTTTAACAAAAAGGTAACTCAATGATGAGATAATTTAATTGATTGATGGAAAGACACTAGTTGCGGATGGGATGGGGGGGGGGGAAGGTTAAGAGCGACAACCCGATGGTGGTATGGGTTCTCCATCTAAGGGGGGGGGGACTAATGGGTTGCATAATTGGCCGCTTTATGATATTCAGTTAATAGGGTGGTTTTACAGAGAGGGTGTACTGTATATTATGGAAGAAGGGGGGGGGGGGTGTAAGCTGGACACTAAATTGTTAGTCCCCCTTTATTTAACACTTCACCATATACCATAAAAATGAATTTTGTATTCCTAGTATGTTCGAAATATACTTTTTTTGGATTGGGACTTTTTTTAAGAATATAAACATATTAATCTAGGCGGTTGGGCCAATAGAGAGACAAGGAGATCAGTACTCTTCTCCCCAGTCCTTGAATAGCAATAGCGAACCGGTAAAATGCTATTGTGAATTTTTCTTGATGTGGATTTTGGGTTATGAAAATATACTAAACCTACGCTTTTTAAATCTGTTGAAATATATGTTTTTCATAACATTTTATTTAAGGAAGGAAGCCGATCTTGTTTCTGCAGATAAAGTAAAGTTAAACTATTAAACAATCCTTGTAGTTTACGGTGACTAGGATTTTGATTCCTATGTTTTAAAGGGAGTGTTCGCGAAACAATAGTCATCGATTATTTTGCGACGAATTCGTAAATAGTTGATATTTCATAATATTTTGTATTTTTCATGATCTGAGAGTTACTTTTGAAAACATTTATTCCTGTCTCGAGGATTTTTGATAATGAAGACATTTTCATATTTTCCAGGAATGTTCGAAAATTCAGCGCCAGCGAAAATTATTTTAAAAAACCAAATCAAAAATATTATGAAATATTAATTATATACGAATGCGTCGAAAAATAATCGATGACTACTGTTTGTAATATCTGAATGATTTGTTTGGAATTAAATTGATTTGTTTACGATCCGAGTTGAATGTTGCATCTTTCCGAATTTGTATGGACGCTGCGTTCTTCGGTGTGAGCCGTTTTTAACAAATTTCTCCTTATAGACGCAGCAAAAAGAAGTTAAGATTAGTAGCGATCAAAAGCGCTTTTTTATCGCAATAAGCCTATACCCCCTTTCATTTTTCGCGAACACTCCCTTTAAGTTGGCTACTTGATCTGAGAACAGTCCCGAAGAGCCATCCTTAAAGTTTCTTGTGTCTTGTGTCTTCAAACTGAAATAAAAAAATATGGCCGGATTTAGTGTGTGCAGTATTACACACTGCAGCGTGTTTTTAATTTTGAAGTCTAGTTATTATTACTCATGTAAAAGTAGAGGTTTTTTATAGCTCATATGGTTTTTTTTATTAACTTGTTTCATTTTATTAATCATAAAAACGTTAAGGATATATTCGGAATATAAGAGCTAGACAGTTCATGCTCTGATTATTTTGTAATTGAGAGAATCAAACTGGTTTTTTTCTGCTCTTCAAAACTCAAATAATATTTTTTTCACATTTCCTAGCTCATCCCTTGAGAATTCTTATTTTTTTATCTTCTAGGGATTCAAGTCCGGAAGTACAGCTACATCAGACCCAGAGAGGAAGTGTAGAAACCCCTGAAACACCTGTTCTTGAAACCATCAATATTAGAGACTATCTTAAGAAGAAGGTAAACTCTTGGATATCAAGNCCCCCCATTGCAGCCCACGGTGTCTCAAAAGACATAACCTAACCTTTGGTTAGTTGTCACTTGGGAAGTCGCCCTTGGGAAAACACCTGACCCACGGCCCTTGTACTTCTCAAAAAAATCAAAACGTTCCAATCATTGGATTAATCCGAGGTAGCTCAAAGCTGTTCTTGAGGTACAGAATGATCTAAGGTTTAAAGGGACTGTTAGCGTATTTTAAACTGACCATCCATTTGGAGATGGCAGTAACTGATCTGATTCACAACGATACCCTTATAACCTTTGTCTAGTAAATGTGGAAGGTATTGTTCTCGATTTAAAAGTGTTTAATTCTGATAATTTCTGAAAAAAATTTCTGCAGTAGAAATGCGCATGCCACTTTGCATAGAAACCACAATTGTAAATAATCAGTTTTCACAAATAAAAGTCATACTTTTAAAGGTACCGTTGTGAATCGGGCACTGCAATTTTTGCATGGAGGGTCGTATGAAATCACACTTAAAGTCCTTCAAAAATGAAGTTTCTAGCAAGAAGATTAATAATGGGTGTTTTTCTTTTTAACAATTTTTCTTTGATTCTATTTCTTGGTCTGATCTAGGATTTTTTTATCCAAGTTTGTTTTACCCTATCTTATAGTATTTAGCTTTAATCCGGGGTTGATTTTAGAGTTAATTTTCTTTTTAACTGAAACTGACTCATTTCATGCATATAAGTTTGTATTATATTGCAGTGTTGTTGGATTCCAGCATGCCAGAGACTCCAGAGCTCGCAACTGTAAATATTAGGGAGTACCTAGCTAAGAGACCTTTGTAGGGAGTACCTGACTAGGAGACCTATGTATGGAGTCCCTAGCATTAGCTAGCAGACCTATGTGGAAAGCACCTAACTAGCAGACCTATGTTGAAAACATCTAACTAGTAGCTATTCATTGAGTACCTTATGTTGTTTACCTGAATACACATAATGTTAAAATTGATAATTGAATATACAATAATAGATTTTATATGAAGTAAATCCGTTTATTTTCAGAGTAGAATGTTTTGAATAGTTTTTAAGTATTGAAAATAAATCTAAAAATGTCTGGACGGGATGAAGATGAGATGGAATTGCTGCGCTGCTTGAAAGGCCATGTCATTAAGGTGATCAGGACAAAATAAAAAAAAATGTAAAAATAAGAGGATAATTCAAATTGAAGTGGGATACATATTTTTGATATTAAGAAATTGTCTTATAAAATATTTTTATGAAATCTTTGAATTTGTAAGACAAAAATCATTTTCTTCATGATTTATTGATCTGTCTCTTTAATAAAAATTGTGTTTAGACCTACAAGAACTCCAAGTTTACGGATGTTACAATTAAATCTAAGGAACTGAGAATTCAGTCTGTTATTCAGTCAAAAATGTTCAACCAAACATTTTCGATAAGTATTTACTCAAAATATTTTTATTAACGTTAAAGGGATTAACCGGCAATGTATGGTGGTTTAACTGAATATATAGTATTTCATTCATGATTTTGAACCCAGTCGACTTTGCACTCAAACTCAGTAATTATACATTGTAGAAACGTTTTATACATCTAGAATGAATCCTAAAAAAATGTTCTACAATACTGCATACCCAGTTCAACCACCATACATTGCCGGTCACTCCCTTAAAGCATCAAACCGGGAAATTTAAAATGTCCACCGTAAATTGAGTCAATTCGTTTTTCTCCTACATTTTTTTCAAGATGAAAAGGAAAGTGCAAGAAAGGCAATTGTTTTCAAAATCGTTAATCTAAAAATCTGTTATAAATTTTGGTATTAATTTATTTAAATATAAATATGCCAATCTTTGACACTAACAGAAAAACAAACCAAAAAAGATCGTTTTCGTATCATTTCTCCATTTTTTAAAGTTTGATCAGGGTGTATATTTTTCCGAGCTATCTCCCTTCTCCCTTTTCTGAAAATAATGTTTGTGTCCATTTTAAGTATAAAGAAGGATGTATTAGCCTTTACATGTTCATTTTTGTTCCTTTTTCCCCCTAGACCCCCCCCCCCATTTAAAAATACCAAAATATTGGCTGAATATCCCATGCTGGAGTAGGATGGACTGGAGATAAAAGCGCACAAACTAGTTCTTTATGCGCAGAATGCCTGGTTTGCAAGGTATACACTAAAATCTTTAACAACCAGAAATAAAAACTTTTAAATGGATGGACTAATTTAGTTCAGCTCATTCTGTTCAATTACAAGTTTCCAGCTTTGGCCAGGGTTTAATTTTTAAGTAAATTTTCTGTTATAAATTTGAAACTTATTCACCATAATTAAACATTTAACGCGTAATTTTAAGTGACACTCCCTGCAAAGAGGGTAATACCTGATTTACAAAGGTACCCTTGAAACCTTTGTATGTTTAGAGATCTCTGTGTTTAATTAATCCGAAAACCTTGATCAGTCAAAGGTTTTCAGGGTACCGTTGTGAATCGGGCATTGCCATCTTACTTGGAGGCTTACTGTCCCTTTAAATACTAAGTAAATCGTCAAGATGTAATTTTGAATGACCCTCCTATGATAGAGTGGCAAATCTGATTCACAATGGTACCCTCCAAACAGATGAATGAGATATAATTAACTTTTTTACTTAAAATTTTAATTGCTTTTTAAAGTTATCAAAGTAACTTTCGGATTTGATTTCCAATGAAAAGTTAATAAATTGTCAGAATTAAACATATTCATCATTGTTACTTATACATTAGTTTAAAGGGTACCTTTGTAAATCAGACATGTCATCTTATAATTGGTTAGTCACTTGAAATTACGTATACAGTATCTTTAAATTTACATCAATTTTTCATTTTAAAATCCGAATCTTCAACTGAAGTTTACTTTCTCTTCTCCTTAGCAAACTGGGTACAGATGCGGATTCTAAGGAAATAGTGCTGGACGATTTCAGTGGAGATGTTGTGANAGTAGTTGTGGATTCTATATATTACAGGTTTGTAGCATAAAAACTAGATAAAGTAGTTGTGAATTCTATATATTGCAGGTTTGTAGCATAAAAACTAGATAAAGTAGTTGTGAATTCTATATATTGCAGGTTTGTAGAACATTGATATCAGGGGTAGATATACCCCAACCCACTTCCACACTTGAAATTGGGGAAAACGCAAGATTTGTAATGGATTGGAAAATTATTAATTATGGGTTAGAAGAATTAAAATTCAAGAAAGATGTTCTTTAGTTTACTAAATGTGTAAATTTTGATTGATTAATTTAGATTAATGACCCATAGTGGGTTTTCTTTTTTAATTTGCAAATTGTAAATGTCCCATTGTGTGCTCACTGTGCGAGTTTAGATTTTGAATTTAGATTAAAGTCCCCTAGTGCGCTCTCGGTGTTTATTTTTGAATTTGATCAATATTCTTTAATTTTATCACTGTGAGAATTTTTGACTTCAATTAAGATAACTATCCCCTAGTTAGCTCTCTGTGGATTTAAGATTAAAATTTTTGTAAATAAATTATCATTATTGTGCTCACGGTGTGAATTTTTGTGATTTGTTGAGATGTTTGTCTTCAAATATTTGCTCACTGTGCGAATATTAGCCCCTAGTCCGCCTACTGTATGAATTTTATATTTAGATTTGTATAGATAAATATCTCAGTCACTGCGTAATATGAGTTAATAATAAATGTTTCCTGTGCGAATATGATTTTAATTTAGACGAATGTCCCCAAGTTTGCTCACTGTGGAAAATGTTATGGATTTTTTGAAAGCGGGAGATCAGTTTTGTATTGATAGCATCAGGAATACATTCATTGATTATTCATTAACTCATTCATTCAGTTATCAATTCATTTATCATTCACCAATTCATTTATAATTCATTAATTCATAAGTCATCAATTCATTTGTTATAATCAATTTATCAATTCATTTATCAGTTCAATCAAATAAACTATTCATAAAAAAAGTATTATGATATGAATTTACTAATGCCAGGGATGAAGCCGCGGTCTTCATGATAAAGGTAAGGTTCTCTCAGTAAAATTAACGGAAGAGTTAACGAACGGAAGAGTTAACGAACGGCAAAAACCGTTAACATAACGGAGTAGCTTTTTAAAAAAAGATTAACGGTGGAAAACGAAAGCGGTACGGATTTTTTCAAACGGTAAATTTCGTTTTTTTCTGCTTGAAATTTCACTTAACTTGGAAAAAACTTGTTTTGATGTATTTAAATGTCGTTTTCTGAATAAAACATTTGGATTTTTTCCAGTCGTGAAAGAATCAGACCGCAGAAAAGGATAAATATAGTTTAACTTGACTTCAATTTGACAAACCTTTAACGCCGTTAATACTACATAAGACCGTTAACGGCTGCACTGTTTACGATTTATAACCGTTAAAATATTTTTTTCGGCACTTTTCGCCGTTAATACTAAAATAGACCGTCAACTGCTGTGCCGTTAACGATTGTTGAAAATTTAGATCGTTAACTAACGGTAATTAAAATACGGTAAATGCCGTTAAGTGAACGAACGTTCAGTTCTTACCTTTAAAATTAACGGCTATCTAAAATTTTTCTTTTTTAACTGTTGGAACTAACCGTTCACGAAACGGCTAGATCGTGCCCAGCCCTAGAAGAATACATGTTGCAAAAACGAAAATTATTATTGTACATTGAATTATGAATTATTTTACGCTAGCTAGAGAACCCAGCGTTGCCCAGGGTATTCGTCTTTAAAAATCAGTTTTCCTCTCCTGGGGAGGGGGAATTTAAAGATAAGGACCCCTGTGCCATGTCTTTGCGTCTTTGCTGTAAAAATCTGCAAGAAACGTAAACAGATAAACTGTTAGTAAAACTACGGCAACAGTTACAATATTCTGAATGTTTAGAACTTGAATGAGAGGTACGCCCTAGATATGCTGGTTCACCCAATATTCGCTGGTGCAATGACAGACACCGTCCTCAAGTTTATCGCAGGTACAATATTTTTCATATCTTTTTATTAAAACTAGCTTGGGAACCCAGCGTTGCTTGGATTTCCCCTTTGAAAGTAATCCCACTCAACTTGTAAGAACATTCCCGTGGTTTTATTCGAGTTCCCCAATCAAAATTTGAGGCGAATCGGTGAAGGGGTTTATTATAAGTTATTGTCAGACATACAAACAGAGATTACTACTTTACATATAAACTAGTTTGGGAACTCAGCGCGGCCCGGGTTACTAAAAGTTACTCCCGCTGTTTACCTGCACTTGAACGATTTTACCGGGAACTTAAATTTTCGCTATGAAAGTCGACCCACTTAACCTAGAATCTCAAAACCGAGCTAAGCCGAGTTCCCTAATCAAAATTTGAGGCAAATCAGTCCAGGAATTTCTGATGTATGATCGGACAAACAAACAAACAGACAAATAGAGATTACAACTATAAATATTTATAGATACATACTTTGGGTTAATGGTCATACTGCCTATCCTTATATTTTTCTCCTAGTTCAGATAAATATATCATAATTGAAAAGGATAAACGGTACCCTAAGTTTCCCTAATACTAGCTGTTTTGTATGAATTTAATTTTGATGCGGATCCGTATTCTGGATCCGCATTGGAAAATGGAAAACACTTATCTGGATACACTGGATACAAACTAAAGATTAAATTAGTCTTTAGATTTAAAAAAGATTAAGCGTTGATCTCAATATCCACAATTCTATAGTTTTCATCTCAGATTAATTGAACCATTCTGTTTTTGTAGAGAATTTCCAACAGTTCCTTTTGTCCGATACACTTAAGGAAAAACTTCTAAAGGAACTTACTGTGCCAAATATGGTGGATATTCTGTCTCATAAGGTAACTATTTCAGTCTATATTTATTGTGCTTATTCTGTCTCTACTCTCTGGTAGCTGTTTCAAAATATCTTTAGTGTCTATCTCAGACTATTATCTGCCTTAATTCTGTCTCTGGTAGCTGTTTCAAAATATCTTTAGTATCTATCTCAGACTATTATCTGCCTTAATTCTGTCTCTGGTAAATGTTTCAAAATATCTTAGAGAATACGATGGTATTGATAGAATTTTTATATTATGTGATGAAGATTAAGGGTTCGATAAGTACCCCTNTGAATATTCAGGGTTTATTGTTTTGTGATGAATATGAAGGGTTTGATGTTATCTGATGAATATCAAGTATTTGATGTTTAATGGAATGAATATTAACTATTTAAGGGTTTGATGTTATGGGATGAATCTGGAAGATATTTACTCGCTGTTGAGAGAGAAACACAATTATTCTTCTTTGTTCTACAATATATAACACAGGTAGAATTATAATTTTGGAAAAGATTACCGCCCCCCGATCCCATTGCTCCTCTGATATGGTTATGTTTTAAAGGGACTGTAAAGGAAAAAGGAAAGGGTATAGGATGAAACCTGAGAATCTCAGGCGTTAACGATACACATAAAACATCTATCTGATATTCCTGTCTCGAGAAATTGATTTAAACCCGTGCAAAATTTTACGAAAATAAAATTCATATATATGCAATTTGTATAAAAGTTGTAAAAGGTGTATAATCATAAAACATTTCTGTGGTTATCCCGAGTTTCTCAATAAAAATTTGAGGGAAATCGGTGAAGGGGTTCATGAGTTATGATCGGACATTCAGACAAACTGAGTTTACAAACTAACGTTATTTATTTGAATAAAGATAATTTTCAAAAAACTGTTCAAAAACATTGAGCTAGTTACATTAAGATTTTTGTTTTTTGTTTCTTCTAACCTGTACCAGTATTAGTATTATTTTTCCCCACCAGAGATTTTCAAATAAAATGTAGTTATTTAAAAATCTACCACTGAAAAATGCTTATAGGTTCCCTCAAATGAACTTTGCTCGGAAAGAGTTGAATGTCTGATTCATTATGGTACCCTTTGAACCTGGGACAAAGGAAAAACTATGGTTGAAAGGGACTATCAGCGTAATTTTAAGTAAACCTCCATCCAACGATGACGATGCCTGATTCACAACAGTACCCGAGAAACCTTTATCTGATCAATAATGTGGAAGATATTGTCGTGTTTCTTGGTTGCAAAGTGTTAAATTCTGATAATTATTATATGTTTTCCTGCAGTGGGATGTGTGCAAGGCAAGTAGGTAGAGAAACCACAATTGAAAATGATCAGTCTTTGAAATTATAAACATTGATATCTTGTTCATACTAGACCAGACAAAGCTTTTAAGGGTACCGTTGTAATCGGGCCTTGCCATCTTTGCATGGTGGGTCACTTGAAATTACGCATACAGCCCTTATTTCAATCCCAGCATAGTACAGTGATGGTTGGATTGCGATGTGGCCATAGGGCGTCCCTAAAAGTCTGATTGATTGATTGATTGATTGATTGAGTGGCTAGGAAAACTGATGGGTTAAATAATAAAAAGTGTGACATACTCCAGGACAAGGATGCGAGATTAGAAGAGCTGAGGTTACTGATGAGGAGTTTAAAGCTGGCACTTCTCGTCCCAAACAATATTCTCACCATTCAAGTCATCGCGGAGAAGCTAGAGGTTCAACCCGACCTGGTTTCAGGTTAGACCATTTTTTTTCTGAAAAATAATCTCTTCCCCCCCTCTTTTGAAAATACTAAGTATGTAATTTTATAGAGTTTTGTTGGCTGAATTGGGAAAAATAAATGATTTTTAGGTGGAAATAAATAAATTTTTGGTTTAAGATTTATGAAGAACTTGAAATTTTATTTCCTATATTTCTTTTTNCTATAAAATATAAATAATAAATATAAAATTTAAGTAAATATTTCAACTTTTTTATATTGATTTTTTATCCTTGGCTAGCCCTGACTGTAAAGTTAGGGAAATATAAGGGAGTATTGTTGACACACATTAATTCAGAGCTTTTTTAGAAAAGATCTCAGATATTGTAGAACCATTTAAGAATCTGAAGTCAAGTGAAAACCTTGCTTCTTTAACTCACAAGGATAGGAAGGTAAAGAGGAAATTATTAGGAGGGGGGGGGGGCTTGTGGATTAAATCATACATGTATTTACAGCAAGGGTATGTGTTAATAGGAGGTCTCAACCTATTTTGTCTGTTCGGGAAGATGGTAGGGAGAATTATTTTAGGATTTTTATAAATGTTTTTACAAGGTCTTAAATTATTTAAGGATAAAAGTAAAGCATCCTCGGATACGAAAAGTATAGCGGAATCATGCAGGTACATCAAATATAGATTAAATAAATTTAAATGTTTCAGAAACATCGCTTAAAAAAAATGCAAATTATCAATGCAATAGTTTAATTGGTTGATTGTAAAACATCAATGTTTTTATTGATTGTAAAACATCAATAGTTTTGATTGATTGTAAAATATTAATGGTTTTAATTGGTTGATTGTAAAACATCAATGGTTTTGATTCATTTTTTAATATTAATGATTTTGGTTGAATGAATGCAAGTCATCAATGGTTTGATTTATTGATTGCAAATTATCAATGTTTTTATTGATTAAGAAATGTCAATGGTTTAATTACTTTATTGTAAATCATTGATTGATTTGTATCTTGTAAGTATTAAGGATGAGGTTTGGAAGCATTCCTCATATATCAACATGTTCGGATCTTGTTCTTAAATTAGGAATTCAATTATTCTTTAATAAGCTTTCTCGCTAGAAAATAGCTATCATATGTTTCTTAAAAGACTATCATTTTTTTGTACAGAAATGTAGAAATTTTTTGTAAAATTTTGTGCATTTTTCTGTTTGAATGCTGGATATCTAAAATATTTACAAATCTTTGATTAATGATGGAATAGAAATATTTTAATATTTTAAAAATGTTAAATTTAAATTTTTCTTTAATCTTAATTTTCTGGCTTAAAACCATTATGATATTTTCTTTTTTCAATAGTTTAAATTGAGATTAGAACCCTGGTCCCAGATTAGCCAAACTAAGTTCCAGTTTGCTCCTTCTCAAACAACAAACAAGGTAGTTAACCAGTTTTCCAGTTTGCTCCTTCCCAAACAACAAACAAGGTAGTTACCAGTTTTCCAGTTTGCTACTTCTCAAACAACAAACAAGGTAGTTAACCAGTATTCTAGTTTTCTACTTCCCAAACAACAAACAAGGTAGTTAACCAGTATTCTAGTTTGCTACTTCTCAAACAACAAACGAGGTAGTTAAACAGTATTTTAGTTTGATACTTCCCAAACACCAAACAAGGTAGTTAACCAGTATTCTAGTTTTCTCCTTCCCAAACAACAAACAAGGTAGTTAACCAGTTTTCTAGTTTGCTACCTCCCAAAGAACAAACAAGGTAGTTAACCAGTATTCTAGTTTGATACTTCCCAAACAACAAGCAAGGTAGTTAACCAGTATTCTAGTCTGCTACTTCTCAAACAACAAACAAGTTAACTAACCAGTATTCTAGTTTGCTACTTCTCAAACAACAAACAAGGTAGTTAACCAGTATTCTAATTTGATACTTCCCAAACAACAAACAAGTTAACTAACCAGTATTCTAGTTTGCTACTTCTCAAGCAACAAACAAGTCAACTAACAAGTATTCTAGTTTGCTACTTCTCAAACAACAAACAAGTTAACTAACCAGTATTCTAGTTTGCTACTTCTCATACAACAAACAAGGTAGTTAATCAGTATTCTAGTTTGCTACTTTTCAAAAAACAAACAAGGTAGTAAAACAGTATTCCAGTTTGCTAATTTTCAAGCCACAAACAAGGTAATTAGCCAGTATTCCGGTTTGCTACGTCTCAAACAACAAACAAGTTAGCTGACCATCATTCCAGTTTGCTACTTTTCAAAAAACAAATAAGTTAGCTGACCAGTATTCTAGTTTGCTACTTCTCGAACAAAGCAGTTAAAGTTGATCTATCTTAATCTTTCTAGTAAATTCGAGTTTGCAACTTTGAAAAAACAAACAATAAAGTAAACTTACTGCGTTCTGTTTTGCTTTTTCTTTGGAAGGCTTTAAGTAGGTAGTACTTGTCAATATATTTACTTTTTTTGCAATTCAAAAATAGAAAAAGGTATTAACCTTCAAATATTGTATTTTACTTCAAATTGTATTTGATCATGTTTTACAATATTTATTTTAAGATGGCTGTGTGTAAAAAGAACATGAAGTCGATCACGGTATTCATCAAGAAAATGGACAAACAGACGAAAAAGGACACCGAGACAGTAGACACGGACAAGAATCAAGATAAAAAGGACGAAAAAGAAGAAAACAAGGACGCAGATAAAAGTGAGAAACCAGTGGAAGAAGAGAAGAAGAAAGATGAGAAAGTGAACGGAGAAGCAGAAAACTGTGAGAAGAAGAAAGATGAGAAAGGGAACGGAGAGAAGAAGAAAGATGAGAAGGGGAACGGAGAGAAGAAGAAAGATGAGAAAGGGAACGGAGAGAAGGAGAAAGAAGATGTTACTAATGAAACAAAGGATTCTGATGAGTTTAGGGTGTGCGGTGTATCTGTATCCGACGACGACGGAAGTTATGAAATAGGTAACCTTGCAATATTAGGGACTTCAAATCCTTTCCAGTGTTTTCATTTATTAATCATGTTTCGCCATAGAAATACTTATCAGATAGATCTGGATCCGGACTCCGCTTCAATGGATGGATTCCATATCCGGATTCATTTTAAAGGACTGATATTCCCGAATATGAAATTATTTGAAAAGGACGGATTTAAAATCCGGTTTCATTTAAGAAGACGGATTTAGAATCCGGATTCGGTTCTAAATGGTATGTACCTTATTTGTACCTCGTCTCATACTTCTCTTCCGTCTTATCTTTCAAAATTTCAGCAAAATCTGTGAAATGCCGTCCATCAGGTGGCTGATTTGACATGGAATGTTGTAATAAATGAAATATTGTAATACAAATCGCGAGGTCGCAAAGAAAAAAAAGCCTAAGATAATATATGCATAGCACACCGACACCATCATTGTTATGCTTAAGAATATCTGTGTTAGTGTCTGAGAAAATATAGGATTTGAAATTGCTGTTATTGCAAATTTCTATGTAAGATAATAGCTCGATAAAAAATGGTTCAAAGTAATTTAATGAGTGATTGATATTGAAATATGATTGATCTGTATTAAGCTAGATCCAAACTAAGACGTTTTCAAGTTGTATTACTATAGCAAAGACTCAAAACTCAAAAGTGAAAGCATTTGTTTAACTAAGCAAAGTATCAATTTTGTATTCAAGTTTGTTTTACAATTTATTGCAACACCTCTTGCTTGTTTTTCTTATAATAGTAAATAGTTCGAAATCTTTGATAAAGAATAAGTTAGGTATAGAGACATCCCATATTTCTTGTAAAACTAAAAAAACTTTAACTGATATATTAACGCCTGATTTTTCGATTCTCTCAAGAAATATTTTCAATTCCTTAAAAGGCAGACTTTGATTGTTTAAACTAAGGACATTTAATCCGCTAAAATTTCTAAAGTTTGATACGAAATTGTTTTAACTTGGGTATGTATTTCTAAGCTCAATGTTTGCAAAAAAAAACCATATTTGTTGGATCTAGATAATCATTATAATTAGGAGTATATTGCTCGTTTTTATCATTTTTCACATCTTCAAGATCATCGTGGTCGTTTTTGATTCAATTTAAAATTAATTAAGTTGTCGAATTACGCATGTAATCCACCAAAAAGTGTTTAAAGGAGATAAGATAGGAAGAGAATGGAATTGTGTAAGCGAGTGAGGAGACGGGAGTGTATTAATGATATTTAGGAGTTGTTGAAGGAGAAGGAGTGAGGAGCAGGGAGTACATACTAGAGGCTGGGGAGTATATCATTGAAATTGCTGCGTTGTACTCACAGGAATGTATTCAAAACAAACTTGAACATAAAAACATTTGCTTTTACTTTATGATTTATACGTTTTTTTAGTTTGTTGTTATTATTGAAGCAAAAACTAGTCAGATCTTATTCTCATGTTTAAGTCAAGTTTTCATATTTTGTTAAAAAATTCAACTTTTGTTAGCAAGCATTGAATGCATTGTTCTGAAGGAAAAGGTTTCCGGTTTAGAGAAGCATGGAAAGGGTAAGGAGAAAGTTGCGCAGGTCAGTTTGTATTTAGATTAAATCATATTGAAGGGACTGTTGAGGAAATTTAAAATGACCCCTCATTTCCTTGTATCTAATTCATAAATCCAAGTCCCTTAGCGCGCTTGTAAATGATTGAAGTTTAGTGTAGCATCCTGTGCAAAAAGTATCTCCTTCAATGAGTCTAAAACTGTATTAATTGCCCCTTTTAAGATTGGAATTTTTATATTTATTATTTGAAAGACCTCAAATATTTGGATTTAATTAAAGTGTAATATCGTATTAATTTTAAATTCCACGGAATTGCTAGTTAATTAGTGAACATCGTATTTATTCACTAAATTGTGATATTAATTAATTTTGAGTGTCCTTGTGGCTATACATTCATTATGATCAAATAGATTATCAAGTACAATAGGTGGCAACAGAGAAATGGAGCAATGATACACGACGTCACAAGTGTCAAATATAACTGGAAAATCGAAATTTTCTCACATAAGTTGACATGTACGATTAAATAAAAAAACTAAAAACAGAAAATAAAGAACTCATAAAATTGCACTTATTTTACTGTAAGATAAGAACTGTTTTCTAAAATTATCACATTTATTGACAATTTTGTCGGACACAAAAACTAAGTTGACGCTTGTGACTGAGAGAGTGTACAAATTCTACGTTGCATCTATTGTACTTCACAATCTATTTGAATATGATACTCTCAAGTAAATATCGTCGTTTTTATATCGATTTTGAGAAAGAAAAACAATGATAACTCCTATCATTTTTACTTTGAAACATTACTTGTAATAAGGTGAACATTCCCTTTAAGCTGGTTGTTTTCAGGAAATGTTTAGTGCAACAACGGTTGAGGATTATTGCTTTGCTACAAACAAGCCAAGAACACTCGGCCCTGTATTAGAGGGGTCAACTCAACCTGTACCTGGGTTTCTATTCAGGTATTCAGGGGGAGATATTAGAGGGGTCAGCTGAACCCGTACCTGGGTTTCTATTCAGGTTTTCAGGGGGAGATATTAGAGGGGTCAGCTGAACCCGTACCTGGGTTTCTATTCAGGTTTTCAGGGGGAGATATTAGAAGGGTCAACTGAACCCGTACCTGGGTTTATATTAAGGTATGCAGGGGTAGATATTTGAAGGGTCAGCTGAACCCGTACCTGGGTTTCTATTTAAGTATTCAAGGGGAGATATTAGAGGGGTCAACTGAACCCGTACCTGGGTTTATATTAAGGTATGCAGGGGGAGATATTAGAAGGGTCAACTGAACCTGTCCCTGGGTTTCTATGCAGGTATGCAGGGGGAGATATTAGACGAAGAATACAGCGGTCTTCAAAATATTAAACATGGATGTCTAATCCATACTTGATCAGAAGCTTTCAAGGTTACCGTTTTCAATCGGTCTTAGTTTGCATTGAGGTCACTGGAAATCACACTCACAGTCCCTTTAATTAGGTTACCCAAGCAGATTCTACGGCTGGAGAAAGGGTCCCCTGGTAAATATTTCTGGTTGAAAGGGTTTGGATTAGAGACAGTGGAGCTTAAGGTGAAAAAAATTTGTTAAAAGATTACTTGAATTTCAGTTTTTGTTAATATTTTTAGTTAAAAATTACACCTTACAACTCCCGGGGAGGGGGGGGGGTTGATATGTGAAACTTTGAGGAAAAATCTAAATTTGGACATCAATAGTTTCTTTGTTTATTTCGTAATCAACAATTTTCTCTAAATTAGTTAATCTCAACCTCTCCAGAAAAATGTCAGAGAATAAAATGATTTTCAGTCGGCAAGGGGGGGATTTATTTGAAAGTAAATATACACCCCCTGTAAAAATGTTAATTTTTAAGGATTCCTCTGAAAAATCTCGATTGTATCCAATCTGGGGATTTCACAGTGCATATAAGTATTATCCTTTCGATCATCAGGTATATTGTGATAACTTTACTTAAACTGCATATAAACTGCATATAAACTTCATATAAACTGTACATAAACTGTACATAAACCTTATATTTACTTTACATTAACTTTACAATAAAAAAGAAAACGCGCTCCCGTACATGTTTATGTGAACAGTTATTTGTGGCATCTTCATAATTATATTGTTCCTTCTTTTATCCTATATGATGTAGCCTCGATATTAACGAGGAACGGTCAATGTTTCTCGTTATGAAGCTAATCAATCTTCTTTAATAGAAAAAAGAGAACTCGTCTCCGTAGCATGTTTATGTGAAAACATGCACAAAGTTAGTTATGGCATTTTCTAATAATTGATAACACACACCGTGTTTGTCGTATTTCTAAGTCAAATTGCATACAAGTATGCTATCCTATTGAATATAATGTAGTTTTTTCTTTTGAACTGCTGCTTCGTCAATACTCAAATATAAATGTAACATGAATTCTGACAAGAAAAACCGAAAAAATGTATCCGGAAACTAATAGATTTCTTCTTAATTAATGTATGTACACGATACTATCGTAAAATAGTTTTTCTGTTAAATCCATATAAACAAATTTGTAATATCCTCGATACATGAATAAATATCTAGATCTTAAAAAAAAACTTCACAATAACTTTACAACAACTTTACATCTACTTTACATTAACTTTACATTAACTTTACATTAACTTTAAATTTACTTTACATTTACTTTACATTTACTTTACATTTACTTTACATTTACTTTACATTAACTGTTAATAAACTGTATATAAACGGTACATAAACTGTACATAAACTGTACATAAACTTAACAAACTGTTGTACTTTACATGCCTCTTTAAGTATTAAAGGTGTATTTTCTGCTGCTTTTACTTCTTTTGGTCTAAGTTGATAATAAAACTATGATATAAAAGCTCGGGAGTGGTTTTCCATGTTTTTCCTTTATAGAATTATTTTTTTCTCTTTTTGTTCCTCCAATTGAATATTTTATAAGGCTCGGTTACATAACTGAATAGAAGGTAATTTACATTCTGAAACTGTTACCAGTTCAGTTCATATAACAACAGAAAAATTAAATTAATAATAATTTATGCATTTTTTTCGGTTTGAATATTTTTTTTTTTTTTCTTTGTGTAAAGTTTGACATCATTATTTTAAATCCTCATAAATGGAGTGTTTTTTTTGTGCAATATTTTAAAAAAAATTCTTGGAAACAGGAATATAATTATGTTTAGTTTGTTCACGTTGTTGAGGTGACAGTTTTTAAATTTTGTCGAATCTCCCTCTCGTATTTTGAAAATCATTTTTGAAGGATTTTGATTACATTTTTGCAACCTCATGGGGGAGGGGGGTGGATACTTATATATTCGATGTAAACATTTTGTAATGATATCAAAGTTATCAAATAACATAGCAATGTAATAATTATACAGTTTTCTCAATAAATCATGTTCTGAAAGGGATTGTGTATGTAATTTTTAGTTACATGACCGATTTAAAACGAAAATGAGGAAGATATTGTCGTTTTTTAACAATGCGTAATTCTGTTAATTTAGCTCCTGTTCTTTTTAGTCAAATCTGCAAGTACCTTTATAGAAAAGCCTCATTGGAAAAAAATATCAATTTTAACCTGAGAAATGAGGATATCTTATTTAACCTTGATCGTTCAAAGCTTTCAAGGGAATTGTTGAAAATTGGACATGATTTATGTGTACAATACATTTAAATTAATAATTGTAATTTGATCATTCACGCTTTATAAGATAAAAATAGATATTAACTTTTGAATTATACCAATATCTGATATAATAAGCATGGTTGCACATTAAAACTGCTATAGTTACCTTTCATTTCAATATTCAATTGGTTAAGATAAGAATCATTAATTCAAAGACAATACTTTTTATTTTTATTTTTAATACAATACAAGCCATAAGACCTCACTTCATTCTTGAACTAGTAAATTCATTTTGAGTTTGGAGTTAGAGTTGTATTGTATCTGTATCATCTATCTATCTATGGTCTAGGGTTGTATTGTATCTGTATCCTCTATCTTATATGGTCTAGGGTTGTATTGTATCTGTATCTATCTTATATGGTCTAGGGTTGTATTGTATCTGTATCTATCTATCTATGGTCTAGGGTTGTATTGTATCTGTATCCTCTATCTATCTATGGTCTAGGGTTGTATTAAATCTGTATCTATCTTATATGGTCTAGGGTTGTATTGTATCTGTATCATCTATCTATCTATGGTCTATGGTTGTATTATATCTGTATCTATCTTATATGGTCTAGGGTTGTATTGTATCTGTCTATCTATCTATCTATGGTCTAGGGTTGTATTGTATCTGTCTATCTATCTATCTTATATGGTCTAGGGTTGTATTGTATCTGTATCATCTATCTATCTATGGTCTAGGGTTGTATTATATCTGTATCTATCTATCTATGGTCTAGGGTTGTATTATATCTGTCTATCTATCTATCTATGGTCTAGGGTTGTATTATATCTGTCTATCTATCTATCTATGGTCTAGGGTAGTATTGTATCTGTCTATCTATCAGATTCTAGGATATTATTATTGGTTGTATGTGTTACGTATCTTTTATTTATTTATCTATGAAGCAGGGGAAGTGTATCCGTTTCAATGATATTGGGTGTAATGTATCCGTATCTATTTATGATCCATCTAGGGTTCTATTATATATCTATATCTATTTAGAGGAATGTTTTGTATCTATTTACTATATTTCTTTGTATCTAGGGTTGTGTTGTATCTGTATCTATTTAGAGGAATGTTTTGTATCTATTTACTATATTTCTCTGTATTTTGGGTTGTATTGTGTCTGTGTCTATTTAGAGGAATGATTTGTATCTATTTATTATATATCTCTGTATTTAGGTTTGTATTGTGTCTGTATCTAGTTAGAGGAATGTTATGTATCTATTTATTATATTTCTCTCTATCTAGGGTTTTATTATATCTGTATCTATTTAGAGGAATGTTTTGTATCCTATTTTTTTTATAATTCTCTGTATTTAGGGTTGTATTGTGTCTGTATCTGTCTAGAGGAATGTTTTGTATCTATTTACTATATTTCTCTGTATCTAGGGTTCTATTATATCTGTATCTGTCGAGAGGAATTTTTTGTATCTATTTATTATATTTCTCTGTATCTAGGGTTGTATTGTGTCTGTATCTAGTTAGAGGAATGTTTTGTATCTATTTATTATATTTCTCTGTATCTAGGGTTGTATTGTGTCTATATCTAGTTAGAGGAATGTTTTGTATCTATTTATTATAATTCTCTGTATCTAGGGTTGTATTGTATCTGTATCTATTTAGAGGAATGTTTTGTATCTATTTATTATATTTCTCTGTTTCTAGGGTTTTATTGTGTCTGTAACTGTTTAGAGGAATGTTTTGTATCTATTTACTATATTTCTCTGTATTTAGGGTTGTATTGTATCTGTATCTATTTAGAGGAATGTTTTGTATCTATTTATTATATTTCTCTGTATCTAGGGTTTTATTGTATCTGTAACTGTTTAGAGGAATGTTTTGTATCTATTTACTATATTTCTCTGTATCTAGGGTTGTATTGTATCTGTATCTAGTTAGAGGAATGTTATGTATCTATTTATTATATTTCTCTGTATCTAGGGTTGTATTGTGTCTGTATCTATCTAGAGGAATGTTTTGTATCTATTTAATATATTTCTCTGTATCAGGGTTTTGAGTTCCTGCCTGGGATAAAGAAACAGTTCCAGTTCTCCCTGGAAGGAATAAATGAAACCCTGTCTCTTGATTCCATCCAGGTATAATTAATACTAGCATCTTTACTGTACTGTACTGTACTGTACTGTACTGTACTGTACTGTACTGTACTGTACTGTATAGTACTGTACTGTACTGTACTGTACCTTACTGTACTGTACCTTACTGTACTGCACTGCACTGTGCTGAAATATACTCCACTTCATTGTACTGTATTGTACTGTACAGTACCTTACTGTACAGTACCTTACTGAACTGTACTGTACTGCACTGTACTGTATTTTTCAGTACTGTACTGTACTGTACTGTATTGTTCAGTACTGTACTGTACCGTTGCATTGCACTGTACTGCATTGCCTTTGCTGTACGGAACTTGACTGTACCACACTGTATTGAACTCTGTACAGGATCTTGATACACTCGAGAGAACTCCTGTTCATGAGGTTGTAGATCTAGACGACAGTGAAGAGGGGGAGGAGGGGGGCAGCGAGGAGGAAATAAATAGACCAACAAATGAGTAAGAAACTATAAAATTTGAAAGTTTTTTCTAAGTGATCCCTTTTACCACAATGTTGAAAACAGACCATCAGGTTTCAAGTCAAAACACCTAAACTCCTCGGAAAATAAAATTTTATTAATTCCCTAGGCGGCATTTTCTAAAAATTTAGATTCTATCTCAGTTGACTGCATAGTGCATACTTATATATTCCAAAGACAAAGGTTTAGTTGTTTTGACTTGAAACCTGATGGTCCATTTTTAGCCGTGTGTTAAACAGTTTGAAAAATCATGAACAATTTTTCTGGTATTTTCTTTTCTTTTTAAAAATCTAAATACAAACTGTAAGACCGAATTTAATTCTTGATAAAGTAATTTCATCTTGAGATTGATCTGTGGATGGTAGGGGATCACTAAAGCTCTGATTGATTCATTTCTTGTTACATGCATTGACTTTTGACTAGCACCTGTAAAATGACATAGATAAAGTCGTCGACGTAGATATCAATACAACTAGATGAATTTCTATACAGCATGAATACACATAAACATAGAAGTCAAGAAAAGCGGACGATAAAAAATATTTGAATACTTGTAAACTTGCAGTTTGAAAAAAAACTTAAATAAAAAATTTATATTTTTGCTATCGCCTACCACTTAAGAAAAACTAATTTGAGCATGGTTTCTGGGTTCCCAAGCTAGTAAGACAATAAGGCATAATGCATGCATTACAAAAATTACTAGATAGAATTAAACAACGAAAATTTAATTAATAAGCGAAGAATTTGATAATTAAGATTTAGAATTTATCATTAAAATCTCAATTTTCAATAATAACAAACATTTTTAGCGGTGAAAATGAGGATAGCGTGATGATTGTTGATAGTGGTAGTGATGGGGAGGATGAGGAGGAAGAGGACGAAAGAGGGGAAGAGGAAGAAGAAGATGAAGATGACGATGATCAGGACCCGGATCCATATCTCCGAGACATGAGTAGAAACGGGGTGAGTAGCATTTCCCAATCGAGAGATAAAGTCACCCTCCATTTATTGAGAGATAGTCACCCTCCATTTATTGAGAGATAAAGTCACCCTCCATTTATTGAGAGATAAAGTCACCCTCCATTTATTGAGAGATAAAGTCACCCTCCATTTATTGAGAGGCATGTTCGTTCACACTTTGCATTGTGCTTAATTAATTCGAAGGTCAAAGCTTTTGTTTTTGTTATTTGTTCAATGTTCATAGCGTGCTCATCGGGTTCTTCATAGTTTATTGAACAATAAAGTGGAAATTAGCAAAAATACAAATCGTAAGACCTCTTCTAGTATAGTCACTTCAATTTTGAGGTGTGAGTGTAGGACGTCCCTAAAAGCATGATTTGATTTGATTTGAAAAGCGTCGGACACTGCCATTTCTTTCCTTAAACCATCAATAAAGTGGAAGAAATCCACCAAGAAAGTACGTTAGTGCAGATTTAAAATTATTATTTTTAATTTCTAGAAAAAGTAAAATCAAATTTACATAAGTTAATAATTTTTACTTATGGATGTTCTTTTGAGGGTTTTGCTGGGTTTGGGCATAGACGAGGCGGAGGAGTAACTGGTCGGGGCGGAGAGGCAGAACCTATTGAAATACCTAGCAGCTCAGAGGAGGAGGAGGAGGCTGAGACGGATGAGGTAAATGGGATGGGATGGGATGGGATGGGATGGGATGGGATGGGACAGTATGGGATGCGATGGGATGCGATGGGATGCGATGGGATGCGATGGGATGGGATAGGATGCGATGGGATGGGATAGGATGGGATGGAATAGGATGGGATGGAATAGGATGGGATGGAATAGGATGGGATGGAATAGGATAGGATGGAATAGGATAGGATGGGATGGATAGGATAGGACGTGATGGGATGGTAATAGAATGGAATGGAATATGATGGGATGGGACGGGTAGGAATAGGATTGAATGGAATAGGACGAAATGGGATGGATTGGAATGGAATGGAATATGATTGGACGGGATGGGATGGGATAGAATAAGATGGAATGGAATAGGATAGAATAGAATGCAATGAGACAAATTAAGACGCAAAAAAAGATTGGATGGGAAGGACTTGAGTGGGATGAGATAGAAAAAATAGGAAATAAACATTTGTATCACATAGTTTTAAGGGACTGTAGACCTACTTTCAAATTGGCCCTCCACTTAAACTTTATTTGTTCGATTCACAACATTACCCTAACAATTTCATCTGATAATGGATGACTGAATTATACTTATGGTTCTAACTAAAAATGTAGTGCCTTTGGAAACCATGTGACGTCATTTGCTATTAGTATACACTATAACGTGTACACTGCAGTACAGTACACGCAAATTTCCCGGCAATAAGTTTTTAGCTTTAGAAATACTGATTTTTCCGACGTCTCTGATCAAACGCAGAGTTATGAGGATTTACCAGATGTATGGTCAATTGAAATTGCTTCTACAGTCAGTCCCTTCAAACAGAACTCGTTAGGAAAATATTTTGCTGCTTTCCCGCATTTTTAATAATCAATGTTTAGGCCGGAGACAAACCAAGCAAGAGAACTGCTTCAACTGAACCCGGATCTCCGAAGAGAACAAAATATCAAGAATAGAATGCTTCTATTAACTCAACTGCATGAAATGCATGAAATAATGAATTATGAAATATTGTATAACTAAACATTTGGCTTCTTGGAATTAGTACAAATATTCAAAGTTAAATTCAAACTGTATATGACGTATCGTGTAAAGCCAAATTGGCCGATTTATGTGTGTTTATTTTTACATTTCGAACAACATAATTGATTTTTTTAATATTTCAGATAAAAATGTCATCATCCTCCTACACATTCACAATCACAGGTCAATATATTTGCCAGGCGTTACCCGTTGAATTAAACAAAAATTGAAAATAAATTAACTAATTCAGCCAATTTGGTCCAGCCGTTAAGCCATCTATAGCTGACTATAAATACTAATTTGTAATCTCTGTTTGTCTTGTCTGTGTGTCCTGGTGTTTGTTTGTTTGGTTTTTTTGTTTGTCCGATCATAACTCAGGCACCCCTGTACCGATTTGCCTCACATTTTGTTTTGGGAAATCGGGAGAGCCATGTGAATGTTCTTAGCTTGGTTTTGAGGTTCTTAGTTGAGTAGGTCGACCTTTATCGGGGAAAACTTGCTTAAATCGTTATTTCGGGTAGACGGCGGGAGTAACTATAAGTTATTACAGTTTATATTCCTATGTAAGTGCCTAGTCTGATTAAGCACAAACATTTTTCAACAGAAGAGACAATTGCTGAAACCGAGATGCCTAGGACCACAAATAACTCTAAAACATCATCATCTTTAGCACCAGGTTCTGCACCAACATCTGGTTGCCAATCAGGGATCGATCCTTCTCTTATAGCTGATCTAGATTACAGTCTAGGACAATTGAAGGATATTCTTCAAAACAATTCCATAACCCAGGATTTTGACATCAGCTCCTCGAACGATATAAATGGGATCATAAAAAAACCTAATTTCTGCTGTACAAGCTCTAACCACCAACTTGACCTCCACACAAGAAAAGGTTGATAACCTTGAGAGAAGGATGAGAAGCCAGGAAGATGAGTTGGATGGCAAGGCATGAAAGGTAATATTCTCATTACCAGTTTACCCAACAAGACAAAGGGTAAAGTTTGTCTTATTAAGACCAGTTCTCAGCTCAAAGAGGAGAATATCTCCTTGACCAACCACATCATCTCATTGACAAAGGACAAGTTCGGCGTGGATCTACCCGCTGCTGATATTACAGCCTGCCACCACCTTCCAAAAGGTGGAGTGGTACTCCGGATCCATAACAGAAAAGAGGGATCAGCCTGGGAGTCAATCATACATAAGATGAAGGAGGGAGCTGGCCAGGAGATGAATGTTTTCTACAACTTCCAACTAACTCAACGTAGGTCAAAAAGATCTAACAAAATATCTAAATATTTCACGGACGAAAATGGACATATCAAGATGGATTGGCGTGAATGATAGGGATAAGCACCGTATTACCTATTTCTGGAACAGTGGTGAAACGGTAACTTTGAATAAAGACGAGCTTCTTAAATTTGTTCACAAACATGTTAAATGAAAAGACAGTGTGTAAAACATATTTTTAGTTTATTAGTAACTCCAGCAAATTAATAACCAACATCATGAGATTTTGAAAAAATATTTATTTCTACTTAATTTTTGTTTTTCTGATTTCAAGCAAATCATTAATTTTTATCAAATTGTTTGTGCAAGTATCAGTATTTTTCTTAGCCTATCTTATATTGTATTTTGTATCTATTTAGTTATGAGTGTATCTGTACTGTGCTGTGGTGGACCTAGGCCTTGTTGCAGGGGGGAGTGGTTCATAACTTTTATCCAATCCAATGAGTACGGATAGGGAGGAGCAGGAGGGAAGGGACGAGCTCCCTCAGTTTGGCAATCTTTTTGAAAAACTTTTTGACGCAAATGATTATCCTAATGCTATCGAACTTTTAAAATCTTGTAACTATTCCTCTACTAAAGATTTAACAAGTGTTATAAAAACAAGTTTTCAGTTTTTTCTCATAATGTAAGATCCTTGTCTAATAATTGGGACGACTTCAAACAAATTTTGAATGATTTCTGTCTTGAAGATTTCAATTGTTCTGTAATTTGTCTCCAAGAAATTTGGTCCCTTAATCCGGCATTTAATTATACTCTAGAGGGGTACTCCCCTCTTTACTATAAACTTAGATCTGAAGGGGGAGAAAACCAAGTGGAGGGGGGAGTGGGAGAGAATGGTACAGAGATTAGGGGGAAAATGAAACAGTTTAAGGTTAAGGGGAAGGGTGTGAATTCGGGTCCAAAGGGAGTGGGGGGTGGGGTTGGAATTTTCATAGACAGGAAGTATGAATCTGAAATAATTCAAGAGGTTTCTGTTTTTGAATCGTTATTTGTTAAAGTCAAACTATCGGAAAATAAAAACTTATTGATCGGTAATATTTACCGGCCTCCTCAAACAAGTATAAGGGATTTTACTGAAATTCTGAATACTGTTTTAGTACAAATTAGAGAAGATACGAATCTAAAACATGTGAGCTTATTCCTGTAGGGGATTTTAATATTTTAAAAACAGAAATACATGTTGAAACTTCTAAATATTTGGATACTTTACTAGACCATAATTTACTTCCAGTTATTTCTAAACCTACTAGAATAAACCAGTCTACTGCTACCTTAATTGATCACATTTTTGCACAAAATATTCATGAGAACTCTAAATATGGCATCCTTTTAGAATCTTTATCAGACCTCTGTCCCACATATTACTTATTAGGGGAAAATATTGAGGCTAGGAATATTAAAGAAAAGAAAACTAGAACCAGAGTTATAAATGATATAAATAAAGAAAAATTTTAAGAAATGTTATCGTCTCCCAACTGGAATGATGTTCTTGAAGAAAATCGGCCAAAACAAGCTTTTGCCATTTTTTTTAACGTAATAGGAAAATATTATGAAGAATCGTTTCCTTTTTCAGAAAAAAAGAAAACTATCAAAAATAGTCCTGTAAACCCTTGGATGAGCTAAGCTCTTTTAAATTCTCGTAAGAGAAAACAACTTCTTTATACCAGAAAACTGTGTAGGCCAACCTTACACAATATTCAAAAGTTTAAAGATTTTTCAAACCTTTATAAAACTCTTAGTAGGGCAGCAAGAAGAAATTATTATTCAGCTAAGATAGAAAAGTACAAAAATGAGTCTAAAAAAACCTGGCAGACCATAAGAGAAGTTCTAGGTAATGTTAAAGATAAATCAAAAACTCCGGAGCATTTCATATAAAATGGAAATATTATTCAGGGGGATTTTAATATTGCTTCAGAGTTTAACAAGTTTTTTTGTAATATAATAGGACCCAAGCTTTCCAATGATATTCCTAAAAGCAATAAATCTTATAGAGACTTTTTAAAGAACCCAGTTGATGAATCCTTTGTTTTTAAAACTTTTAATAGGGAGGATATTCTTGAAATGGGAGCACAGTTAAAACCTAAAAATAGTTCTGGTATTGATAATATCTCAAGCAAACAATTAAAAGAAATTCTGCCAAACATTGTAAATCCTGTCACACACATTTTTAACCTTTCTTTTCAAACTGGGTATATTCCCTTAGAATTGAAAACAGCAAGAGTAGTTCCTGTACACAAATCAGATTCTAATTCTTTATTTAACAATTATCGACCAATAAGTTTACTACCATCTTTGAGCAAACTTCTAGAAAAATGTGCTGCTAAACAAATGTTTGGATTTATTGAGAAAAATAAGATTCTTTATGATTTTCAATTTGGATTTAGGCGTAATCACAATACAACACAGCCTGTTCTTCATTTTTTGGATAAAATATATCATTCATTGAATAAAGACGATCCAGAATACACAATTTCCATCTTTTTAGACCTTAAAAAAGCCTTTGATACTGTATCACATAGCATTCTCTTAGAAAAACTTAAACATTATGGTTTCAGAGGACTTTCTAATCTTTGGTTCACAAATTATTTAAATGGTAGGAAACAAGTTGTTTCAATTAATGAAATAGATTCAGACTCCTGGAAATATGTGTAGGGGTCCCACAGGGATCAGTCTTAGGGCCGTTATTATTTCTACTTTACATTAATTGTCTGCCAAATGCTGTTGAATTTTTAGCTCTGCTATTTGCTGATGACACAACTTTTCAAATGTGTGGAAATGATATTAAAAAACTTTTTGAAAAGACAAATATTGAACTTAATAAAGCTGCCGAATGGTTTCATTGTAATAAATTATCGCTAAATGTTGACAAAACAAAATTTATTGTTTTTAAGCCAACTAAAAAAAATGCTGACTTTAATAATCTAACTCTAGAGATAGGTGGAAAGAAAATTGAAAGGATTGCCAAAAATTTTCCGACGAAGTCATTTAAGTTTGTTTGGATCAATATTGATGAGAATTTGTCTTGGGATATCATATTAGCAAAGTTAAAAGTAAAATCTCGTTTGCTAATATTCAAATTGCAAGAGTAAAAAATATTCTACCCATTGGTACTGTAACTAACCTTTACAATGCCCTTTTTAGGCCTCATTTAGAGTTTGGGGTTATGACGTGGGGGGCGCTCCAAAATCTAAACTGAAAGGGATTATTAAATGCCAGAAAAAGTATATCAGAAATATTAGTAGAAATACATATAATGCAAATACTGACTCTATTTTCAAGAAACTTGATATCCTCAAGTTTAATGATCTCTCTGAATTCAATTGTAAAATATTTACGCATTCATTTTATCATGGAAGGCTGCCACCTTGTTTTTCTCATATGTTCCAGAAATCAATTTCGACTAGAACAAATAACATTGTTACACAACTTTGTAAGAAATCTAGTTTACATAAATTTCCAGCCCATTTTCTACCAAAACTGAGGAATTCACTAGAAAATGACTTTAAAATTCTTGAATCAAAATCCTCATATAAAAATTCACTGTATTCAAATTATATTTTATCTTATTAAACTTGATTGCCAACTGAATCGGGCTTGTCCCAAACCCTACTGCTCCAAAACTAAAAGTATTCATTATTTTAATTTACTCCACTCTGTCTCTGTATTTAAGGAATCGCTAACCACCATGCACAGTATCTGGTATATCTCATCGCTCAATAGTACAGTCTAAAAAAGAACAAATAAGAACAAATTTTTGGGCTAGTTTATACAGTCTGAAGACTTTCTAGTCCGCAAACTAGTGTCTGTAATTGTAAATATGTAATATATCACTGATTTTATTCTATGACCATAACATATATTTTTATCATTTAACCTGTAAACTAGTTTGAAATATACATTATTATTATTATTAGTAATGCATTCTACATATTATTTAAAACTTTGTTATACTTTTGAAAAAAACTACGCATACAAAGGTTGGTTACTCTCGATGCGCATCAATGTTCGGAAAATGTTGTGTCCTAAGAGGAAAGGATATACAGATAAAAACCTCATACAGAGGCGTGAGTGGCGTCATATGAGGTTTTTATCTTAGTAGGAGACGACATTTTCCGTACATTAGAGCGAATCGAGAGTAATCAACCTTATTAATCAATTCAACCTTTACGTATACAGTCCCCTTAGATAGAAAATGAACTCTCATTTTTATTTAGATTATTTCAAAATGGCAAACCGACCCTGTCGGGTAATGGTGAGGAATATTCCTGCTCCGCTTCAGCAGTTTTACTTTTCGGGCAAACTTCAAAGTAAGATATTTCTCCGTTGGTTTAAACCAGGCGAGGGTGGGAGGGACTGGTAACCCCGGCCACCAATGAGCCTCCGCTTCACAATATGCGAACCTCTTTAATTTAAAAAATATGTAAATATGTTAAAAATTGTTTTTGTTGTATGTTGACTATTGATATTTTTAGATTCTGTATTTTTTGGCGGAACAGACCTGCAAAAGTTCTGTCATTTTTTTTTATAATGATTTTTTCATTTCAATGGAAAACGTTTATGAGTTAATTATTTCAAGATAAGTAGGAAAAGTATTTATTTCGACACGAGGATTATACTTTTCTATGTGATATTTATATTGTATAAATTTTAATCTTCGTGTAATAAATGATTTGATTTGATTTGATTTGATTTGAAAACATGCTTCTCGCTTCAATTGCTGAATGTGTTTACGTATCCTCAATAAGTGCACTAAGCCCTGTTTTTGCAGCTAAAATCACTGTACTGTACTGTACTGTACTGTACTGTACTGTAAACCTGTAAGTACGTAGACAGTCTCTTTAATGACCTGTAATTACGTAGACAGTCTCTTTAAGAATTTATAAAATGTCGTCTCGACAATTTTTCAATGGGTTTTATACTTTTATACCTCAATCTCAGTAATTGTAATTGGATGGCCATTTTAGGTAATAATGTCAGAGCTACTGTTGAAACCAAAATCAAAATATAAGATCCTGTAAAACAAAGTTATAATGTTAAATATGAAAGGGAAATTTTAAGTTATAAGCTGAAGGGTTTGTTCTGAGATGTTGGATGGGTCAATCTGCTGAACAATCCAGAGATGATTTCAAGGATGTACATGGGGAGGAAGACTTAAGCCGCCCAAATTTACCATTTAGCATTTTTCGCAGTGTCTTCTTTATAAACAAGATTATGTATCTTATCAATGTTGTAAGTCTGGTTTAGAACGATGTACAAGAGACGAGAAGTTATATAATTAAAATTGATTTTTGGAAAAATTCTTAATGATTAAAAAAAGGTTAAAAAATTAAATGCTGCTGAGTTCTGTGGGATGACGTGAGATGTTTCGGTCTACCGTAAGATCCAGAGATAATTTCAAGGATGCTCGAGGGGAGGAAAACTTAAGCTGCCAAGTTTTCCAGAAGAAATTCTGAGTTGAAGCATTTTTCGAAATGTCTTCTTTATACAAATGACCTGTAATTACGTAGACAGTGTCTTTAATGACCTGTAATTACGTAAACAGTCTATTTAATGACCTGTAATTACGTAGACAGTCTCTTTAATGACCTGTAGTTACGTAGACAGTCTCTTTAATGACCTGTAATTACGTAGACCCACTTTAATGACCTGTAATTACGTAGACAGTCATTTTAATGACCTGTAATACAACTTTTCAAATGTGTGGAAATGATATTAAAAAACTTTTTGAAAAGACAAATATTGAACTTAATAAAGCTGCCGNTTAATTACGTAGACAGTATCTTAATGACCTGTAATTACGTAGACAGTCTATTTAATGACCTGTAATTACGTAGACAGTATCTTAATGACCTATAATTACGTCTTCAGTCATTTTAATTACCTGTAATTACGTAGACAGTCTCCTTAATGTAGAAATAGAAGAAAATGAGGATGATGAATTCAATCTTAATGACGAGGTAGAAATCAAACTTGAAGCTTATGCTGCTGAGGGCGAAAAGCAGAACGGGAAGAAGGTCTAGAGATACCAGAGGAGAATCAGGTAGCAAAGATTAAATATATTTAAGGCTGAGACACATGCATGATTCACAATGGAACTCTGATCAAGAATGTGGAAGATATCGTCGTTTTTAATAGCTTGAAAAATTCTGACATTTTCCCATTGTTTCGTAAGAAGAAATCATTCATTTCTGATCGTAGACATCTAAATTAGGGCTCTAACATGCCACTTGTTCTTCCAAATAAAGCGTCAATTGAAATTATATCTTCAACTTTTTAATTTTAATTGGACCCTGTTTACATGTTCATATGTTTTCTGATTTGAAAATTAAAAAGCGAAAATTTTGATTTAAACGTTTTATAAAATGAACGTAAGGTGATAGATAGATAGATAGATAGATAGATAGATAGATAGATAGATAGATAGATAGATAGATAGATAGATAGATAGATAGATAGAAGATAGATAGATAGATCAGCAACGAATGTCTAATTTTAATGTGTTATGTTTGAGGATTTGACAAGAATGAGTCAGCTGTTTCTATCCAAACATTTACCTCTTACAATTGTAAAAAAAAAAATATTTCAATACCTTTATATCCGATCAAAAAAAATATAATTTTTCCAAAAAAGAAAAGTAGATTAGAAAAATAGCAAAATATTTGGAAATCGTTCGAAGGAAACGTTTTATTAAGGTCATTTTTTAATATTGATAATTTTCTTAATTTCAAGTTGGAATTAATTGTTTCTTAAAAATTTAATTTTGTTTTTTTATTTTACGAAAGTTATGAGGTTTTCCACAGATGAATTTTATATTTTGGATGAAATAAAAAGGGTTTATGGGGGGGAGGATACGATTTTCTGCGAAATTTATACACCTTCCCCGTTACGATTTACTGGGTGGTTAATTCTAAATTATGTTTTGAGATTAACCACTATAATTCTAGATCAAAGGACTATGGGAGCGAAGTGCCTGGACTTGAAATAAATTGCAGTACAAACTTTTAATATGGTGATTGTAGACACAAAATATTCAAGATTGTGACACAAAAAATTCAAGATTGTGACACAAAATATTCAAGATTGTGACACAAAATATTCAAGATTGTGACACAAAATATTCAAAATGGTGACACAAAATATTCAAGATTGTGACACAAAACATTCAAGATGGTGACACAAAATATTCAAGATTGTGACACAAAATATTCAAGATTGTGACACAAAATATTCAAGATGGTGACACAAAATATTCAAGATTGTGACACAAAATATTCAAGATGGTGACACAAAATATTCAAGATTGTGATATAAAATTCCTTATAGCGACACATTACACTAATAGTGTCAAGAATGACTGGCTAATTTTTAAAATAAATGATTTTATTTTATTAAATTTTTTATTTTTTATTTTTTCAGAATGCAAAATGGGAATACTTCCAATTCAAAAAGAACCCGAACTTATCCAGGTTTAATTAATTTCTTTTTTAAAGGGACTGTTAACATAATTTCTAGTGATCTTCAATCTGAAGCATTACATAAACTATTCACAACGATTCCTAGCAGCCCTTTATTATATCAGGTCTTCTATTCATAAAAGAGATCAATTCTGTTATTTTTCTTTATTATCTCTGATGCATAAAAGTGGCAAGTCATTATCATAGAGAAACCACAACTAAAAAAGCAATATTTTTTAACAGTCAAATAAGGATATCTCAGTCATCATTGATGAAGAGAAAGGTTTGAAGGGTACAATTGTAAATCTGATATGCTATTGTTAAATTGAGGGTTACTCATAAAGAGACTGCATCCGAATTTCATATTCATATTTTTATTTAACTACAAAGCACGATATAATACAAATAAAAAATCACAATTTACTATGTAGTTAACTCTTGAAAAATTTGAATACAATATAAAGTGGAACCAACCATATTTGAGCCGCCGCTCAAATTCTTTAAATTCAGCCTCTGGACACGTATTGTATGGTAACCCTCGATTATAAATAATATGGACGCATTATTCAAAATTTTAAATGATTTTTTTCAAATTTCAATTGCGTAAAGCAAAAAATGAATGCAATTTCTTTCATTTCTTTGAAACGTAATTTGCCAAATCTTTATTCAACTAAGAACTGGGAATGAATGTACAGTAAAATCCCGTCTTCGGACTAATGATGAAGAATACTTCTAAGATCGATGTTCTAACATAGTAGTGTACTGTACTTTTCAAAAGTTATGTAAAAGTTATTAAAAATCATTGTTAGAGAAAAGTAAGGTACATACTATCAGCAGATTAAGATTTATTGGTACTGAGGCCGAATTTAGAGAATCTAAGCCGCGGCTCAAATATGGTTGGTTCAACTTAAATTTGTATTCAATGTTTCAAGATTTAAGCCGTCGCTCAATTTAAACCGGTTTTTGGCGAATTTGAGACGCGGCTGAAATTCATTAAATTCGGCCTTTGGAGAATTTGTTCATAAAAAAAACAAAACAAATTGTTATAAATTGTATTTAGGCGATATTTCGGCGTGACAAGGGGGCTGTTGAGAGACTATTAGGTTAGTTTTAAATTTATACTTGTCTGTCGCTAGCTCAAATTTTCGAATCCCTATCTTTACAACCCCTGATATATTTCAAACTAAGACTATTTAATCTATCGGAATTCATATTTTGAAATATCAAAGATTTACGACATCGGGCTAGAATAAAACTCAGCTCCTTAATCCAGTATATTAATAGTTATGAATTCTATGGAATAATGGTTGACTGTTTGTTTGATAGTTTGTTTGTAGTGAATGTTATTTTATTCAGATTGTTGACAATCTTTCTTTTTCTAAAAATATCTTAAACTTAATTTTACGCTTTTTGTTTTGTTCTTGAAAGTTTTTTCTTACTGTTTAAGAAGAATTTACGATGTTCATCATGTTTAAAAATTGTTAGCTCATATGAGATTGCACTGTGACCCAAAAGGTGCACGCTCTAAGACTTAGATATATTAGAATTTTGCCAATTACTTGTCTCAAACTGAAGCTAGGAACAAGCTTGTTGTAGTTATGAATTGTGAATGTCATTGTCTACTGTCTAGGGCTACACAAATGTAGAAGTGAGTTAACGTTACCAATGAGTTGCGAACAAAGTCGACCTAAACTGAAAAATTTAAACACATTGTTAAAGTTACCGACATTGCTGTGATATATGAAAAGGTCCAGGTCGAAAATGAAAATTAATTAAAAGAATCAATTTATTGACCGACCGAAAAAAATCGACTTATTTAGAGGAAGATGACCAGCTGGGAACATACCTGGACAGAGAGAAAAGATCTCCTCTTCATGCCGCAGCCTTTATGGTAATTGAAACCAGTGCTTTGCTTCCGGATCAAATTTTGTTGGATCCGCAACATTTTGGCTTCTTGGATTCGAACCCGGATTCGCATAAATATGCAAATACACGGATCCGGATTCATGGGCAAAATATCAACCAATAACTTTTTGGGTCCCAACGGGTTCTAAGTGCCCGTCCCCCCTTCAAGAAAAAAGTTAACCCACCCCTCCTCTGGACTAACGCCCCTATCTGAATCTTCTGTCAGGGTCAATATTTTGATATATGTATAAGAGTGATCCTGAAGAGATTGTAACCAAGAATATTGGACTGCTTAGGTTTTAGAGAAGCCACCCTACACCTTAATTATGAATTAAAATGAAATGGAAACTTTTGTAAAGTTAATCCTTTTAGAACGCACTTATCCACTCTGGTTTGAGGGATTAACTAAAATCCTTTAGTCTCAAAATATGAGATAGCTATTTGCTAAGTAATCCACAGATAAACTGCTTACTCTCTTTAATATAATTAATCCTTTTTTAACGCACTTATCCTCTCTGGTTTGAGGGATTAAGTAAAATCCTTTAGTCTCAAAATAAGAGATAGCTATTGACTAAGTGATTCACAAATAAACTGCTTAATCGCTTCAAATTTAAAGTTTTCTTAGAAAATTATCGGAGCTGGGAACTTTTGAATAGTGGATATCGGGATTAATGCTTGATCCACTCTTTTTCTTAATCTCCAGATTAAATAATGCTTGTTCTTCTCTCATTTTTAATCTCCAGATTAATTAACCGATCGGGATTAAGGATATCCCATTCAAAAGTTTTCAGCTCAAGTACAAGCGGCGTAGAAGAGGATTGTCTCATACAATAGTTTTGACCTCAAGATTTAACAGCAGATAATATTTGCAGGGAGATGCTGAGATACTGAGAATTCTGCTGAATAAGTCTAATGCTAAAGTTAATGTAAAGGTATAACTTGACAATAATAACATCGCTCTATCTCATTAATTTTCGGGGATTAGGGGAAAATAATTTTTGATGATTTAGAATTATTGAAATTTGATAAAAGAGGAGTTTTTCCCTAAAATTATATATTTCTCCATAAAACTCCGAAATGAATAAAACTTTATATTGATAATATTTCTAAGGAATGAAGTTTAATATTTCTTTATTTATCAATACAATAAACTTATAAAAAGGTGTGAGAATTAGTTTTTGATGATTCTTGATTTCATTTATGACATGAAAAGTTAAAAATTTTGTTCGTAAAATATTAAACATTCATATTTTAATTTCTAAATCTTCATTTAGATTTTAAAGGTTACAAAATCTTAAAAAAATTAATGAAAAATACAGCATTTTTCATGAAATTCTCCAAACTTATAATAATTGAATGTTCAAAAACTTTCAAAAAAATAATTTTTTAAATAGATAAAACTTTTCAGGATAATCTTTGGTTATCACCTCTGCATCGGGCATGTGCGTCTAAGGTACTTTTTTTAATCCAATCCAATTTAAGATCTATACAGTGAAGCTCTTCGCTCATGTATATATATATAAAGCTGGCCAAACGGCTGGACCGAATGGGCTAAAAAAAAAATATATAATTGGAAACCCATGGGTACCCTCAAATTTCGATTTTTAAAAATATTTTACGGGCAACGCCGGGTGCTTCAGTTATATGTATATATGTCACACACATGTGCGTCCTTTATAAGTATCCTAAGCAACTGACAAATCAATATTGCGTCCTCAATTTATGCCTTTAATGTCCTTATCTTCAATATATCTGAAAATGTGCGTTTGCTACAAATTATACTTGATAACTACCTAGAATGAGTATTACGAAAAGTCTCCCTAAGTCTCTAGTTACGGGGTTACCTTCAAAAGACGAGACTTCAGAGAATTACGGAAATTATACTGTCTGAGCTGAAAACTTTTGAATGGGATATCCTTAATCCCGATCGTATAATTAATCTGGAGATTTATAACAAGAGGAGAACAAGCATTATTTAATCTGGAGATTAAGAAAAAGAGTGGATCAAGCATTAATCCCGATATCCACCATTCAAAAATTCCCAGCTTAGTTTCCTAATATTCATGATACCCTGCAGCAGCGGTTAAATTTTTTATTGCTTTCCGAAATCATTAAAACTTCATTTAGAGATTAAATTCAAGGCAGAAGTCTCAATTTTAACTCAAGTTCGTCAAATTGTTATAGTTTCAGGTCGTCTTTACAGTCTCTTCCTTTGTGTGGTCACCCTGTATAAAATATTTATTTTCTATTCTTACCGTAGGTTCACTAGAACATACATATTGTGTAAGTACATTACATATATCATGAAGTATAATCTATAATTCTGCGCATTATTACTACTTAAAGGGAATGTTCGGAACAATGGAAGGAGTTATTGAATTAATCAAAATGGAATAAAGAATGTATGTTTAACGTAATTTAATTTTGACCGCCCTGAAAATAAACGGGCTGACAGAAACATTGGATAGAAATGCTAACAAATTTAATTACTTCTCCATGCTTTCTTAAAGTTTTCGCGAACATTCCCATATAAGTCGACTAATTCTCATTAAGTACGACGTACTATCCTTTCTGTTACATGATGCTAATGCCCTTTCATAATGATTTAAGTTTAAATATAAATGAGGTTAACTTTTTTTGTAGTTTCGTCAAGATATTTTTTAGTTTGACATTGAACATGAAATTGCATTTTTACAAATATTACAAATATCCTTTTCTTTAGGAGTTCACTCAGGACACACTTTATTAATTTGTAATGGTTTAAATATACATAAGATCTATTATATTATATCACAAAAGTGTTACGGGTTTTAGTTTTTACATTTCCCTATCAATAGTAGGATCTAATAAACCTATCTAGTACCTCATAAACTTCATGTACTTCATGTACACGTTCGTGTACATTTACGTCATGTACTTCATGTAACTTAAATACTTCATTTACTTCATGTAACTTCATTTACTTCATGTACTTCATATACTTCATGTACTTCATGCACTTCATGTACTTCATGTACTTCATGTACTTTATGTACTTTATGTACTAATTGTACTTCATGTACTTCATGTACTTCATGTACTTCATGTACTTCATGTACTTCATGAACTTCATGAACTTCATGAACCCCATGTACTTCATGTACTTCATGTACTTCATGCACTTCATGTACTTCAAGTACTTCATGTACTTCATGAACCCCATGTACTTCATGTACTTCATGTACTTCATGTACTACTGTACACTAGGCTGCAGAGGTAGTTGCTGTTCTACTAGAGGAGTCAGCTGATGTTAATGCCAGGAACCATTTTCAATATTTAATTTTTTTCAGAAATTTTAAATTGATTGGCACATCAAAATGGCAGCATGGCTCAAATTTGGTCGCGCTGCTGTGATCTAGTTTGTAAAATTACCAAAATTGTTGATTCTTACACGGAAAAAAAGCGAACCCAGAATGTGGGAAGGAATTGGAATTCCGATCCATATACCAAGTACGCCTCAAGCGATCTCTGTAAAATATGATTCGATTTGATTGCATCGTCAAAAGATACAGACAATCAACCACCAACTAATTTTATTTAGAATTTGGGGTGGGGGGGATATTCCTTAAATTTTGATTTTTATATATTTTCTTTTAAAAAACATCATTTCGTATTACAATGTGGGTAGAAATAATTTAGCGGGAAATGGGGTTGATTTCAAGCGTGACGTTTTAGGACAGCTGAGAAACTGGTTTATCCTTGGCTGCTAAGAAACAATTTAAACCTTTGTTTACAATCTTTGTTTTGTTATTGTTTCAAACAATGAATTAATTAAATAGCAATTATAGAATATATCAAATCCTGTACTTCACCTCCTTAGATTTAAATGGTTGTTTTAATCAGATTTTTATTTATATAAATTGGATATTTGCAAATTAAACAAAGAAATAAATCTATTCATAAAACAAATTCAAAATAATTTTGGAAACGGATAATTTCAAAAGTTCTAAATCAAGACTAACTGAAATATACGCTAGTTTAATGAGTTATGACATAAAGCCGGAAGTTGAAAATGTTATAAATGATGAAGGGATAAAAATTGGCAAACTGCTTTCCATATAGCTGCCGCCAATAATGCTCTGGGCTGTGTGGAACTAATTATTCCAAAGCTGTCAAATATAAATATATCAGATAGGTAGATTTTTTGTGCCCTTTTTTACAGTGATTTGTGACATATTTTTTAACTAATTTGTGCCCTTTTTTACAGTGATTTGTAACCTATTTTTGAACTAATTTGTGCCCTTTTCTTACAGTGATTTGTGTATTCTTGAACTAATGTGTGCCCTTTTCTTACAGTGATTTGTGACCTATTTTTGAACAGATTTAGCCCCTTTTTTTACAGTGATTTTTGACCTATTTTTGAACTAATTTGTGCCTTTTTTATCGTGATTGTGCCCATTTTCTGTGTTATTTGTGAATTGTTAAATAATTTGTCCTTCTTTTCTTCTAAATTGTCAGCATTTTCTAGTGAGAAGTGCCTTTTTCGTGTAATTTGTGCCCTTCTATTCGTGTAATTTGTGCCCTTCTATTCGCGTAATTTGTGCCCTTCTATTCGAGTAATTTGTGCCCTTCTTTTCGAGTAATTTGTGCCCTTCTATTCGAGTAATTCTATTCGAGTAATTTGTGCCCTTCTATTCGAGTAATTTGTGACCTTCTTTTTGAGAAATTTGTGCCCTTTTTGATTAATTTGTGCCCTTCTTTTCGAGTAGTTTGTGCCCTTCTATTCGATTAATTTGTGCCCTTCTTTTCGAGTAATTTGTGCCCTTCTTTTCGAGTAATTTGTGCCCTCATATTCGAGTCATTTGTGCCCTTCTTTTTGAGTAATTTGTGCCCTTCTATTCGAGTAATTTGTGCCCTTCTTTTCGAGTAATTTTTGCCCTTCTATTCGAGTAATTTGTGCCCTTCTTTTCGAATAATTTGTGCCCTTCTTTTCGAGTAATTTGTGCCCTTTTATTCGCGTAATTTGTGCCCTCCTTTTCGAGTAATTTGTGCCCTTCTATTCAAGTAATTTGTGCCCTTCTATTCGAATAATTTGTGCCCTTCTTTTCGAGTAATTTGTGCCCTTCTATTTACAGATTAAAGACGGATTCACCAGTTTATTGAATTTTCTGGAACAAAAGGAAAAGACTAATTGGCCACAAGGAACCAAGAATGTAGGAAAGAAGGTTGAACAAAATCTGTACAGTCGTCTCTGAAGTCTCATCCATGTGGGTAGCTGTGTATATATTTCAGAGGAGGAAGAACAAGTTTACATCATGCTTGTAACGCTGGGCACACACAGATGGTAGAACTTCTTATTCAGGTCGGAAATACAACTAAAGGGACAGCTCGCATATTTAAAGGGACAGCTCGCATAATTAAAGGGGCAGCTCGCATAATTAAAGGGACAGCTCGCATAATTAAAGGGACAGCTCGCATAATTAAAGGGACAGCTCGCATTGAAGTTAGATAAAGGGGTATTTAAGAGAAATAAACGTTTTCTTATTTTTTGAAAAACAAAAACATCCATTAGCAAACATCATCAGTTTTTTTAACAACTCATAATATCTGGGGAAAAAAATATAAAAAATTTGAAAAAACAAATGGTTCAATGTGAATATCCAATGTGGACACTTTTAAATTTTTGCTTAATCCTCTCTGTTGGATAGCCCCGCTGGGTTCCAACCAACCAATGAGAGTTCTCTCATTTGATTTTGCACAACATTTTCCCGGTTTCATATTGGCTGTTCAGTTTATATAAACAATACTCTGATTACTCTGATTGGTTGTTTTTTAGCCACTTTAGTAGATATCAAAATAAAGATTTGATTTATCTCGATATCAAAATTTCTAAAGTTTTCAGAAATACAGTACAGCTTAGCAACAAACCCGCTGTTAGCCTAACATTGGCAAGCCTTCCCACGTTTGCGATTTTCAAAGCTTTCAACCTCACTATTACACCCAATAATAGTATTCCCGTTAATATTCCCTTATATATTTATTTCACCCCTATTGCCTCGCTGTAATGAAGAGATAAATAGATAATTTATAATTTTAGAACGGATTGAACGTTAACAGTCAGGATAAGAGGGAAAGACGACCTCTACATTGGGCAGCAAACAAGGTAGAAGTTTTATTAAGATCACAAGCTGAAGAGCCCAGCGTTGCCCATAGAAAAAAAAAAAAAAAATTTTTTCAACATTTGAAAAAATAACATTAAAAAAAAATTGGAAAAAAATCAAATTTTTATTTAGCCAATGTCACCCGGCCCAGGCCACTCATGAGTGTCTTTGATTGGTTTTAATAATTTCTTAGTGTTAATTTCTTTTAGAATCATATCTATAACCGTATTTTAATTGTATGTTTATAGTTAAATTGTTTGTATCCATTAACTGCGTCTAAAAGAGGTAACTTTATGTGGTATACAGGTTTATAGCCTGTCAAATTTAAATATTTTAAAGAATTTTATTTTTATCATTTAGCTAACATAAAAATCCGATAAATGTGTTGACTAAAATGGATGCGATGGACCCGAAAATTAATCTAATTTATTGTATTTTAGGGAAATGAGATGATTGTGGAGATATTACTGAGTGCTGGGGCTGATATAAACGCAAGGTGAGTCGGAAGGGACCCCCCCCCCCCGCTCTTTTGCGCTGGGGGGTTATATGGAAATATTTTGCGCGCATAACCAACTTTTGTGGAATAAAAGATTTTCAACATAATATTTCTAGAAAATATACAATATGTACTATGCAGGGTTGTTTCATGTAAATTAAATTAACCCTCGAGTTAAACAATTCTTTCGTAGAAAAACACTTCTGTAGATTGTCACGAAAAATTAATAAGAAGTTTTTTAAATATTAAAGCTTTTACAGGGTTTTCAGCCTTTCTTTAGTCTTTCTTTGTACAGCTTTAGATTTATGATGGGAGGTTTCTAAACTGCTTATTTTTTCACTGTTTGATTCTCAAAGTAAGAATTGTTGACACTTTATTTTAGGGATAAAGATGGTTTAACACCTCTTCATGTTAGCGCAGCACTTGGTATGTTATTTTCAAAATTTTATATTTAGATAAAAAAGGTTTTCGGTTATCATGCTTCTTTGCACGGCGCAGAAACTCATGATTTTGATATCATATTTATTAAATGTAATCAAAGTTTTTAAAAGAGTTGACAAATTGAAATTAAAACGCACAGGCGCACAGGAAAAACATGTAGTCCTAAATTTTTTATCAAGTGTGATTTTTATGTTATTTGCGCGGCGCAGAAACGCATGATTTTGCTAAATAATATCATATTTGTTAAATGAAATCAAAGTTTTTAAGAGATAGTTGAACCTTTGCATTTGAAACGCACAAACGTTCCCTTTGTTTTCTTAAATGTTTTGAAGGCGCAAATAAGCAGGGAAAAAGTAAGATACTACCCAAATTTTGATTTTGAAACCTCTAAGCCTGAGAGTAGATTTTCTTTAAAATCCTCATTTTCATAATTTTTATCAAATAAATACTAAGATCCATTTAATTTTGATGCTGATCCGGTTCCAGGTTTTTTCTTAAAAATTGAAAAAAAAATATAAAAATTGAAAGAATGAATATGTCGTGATTTTTCTAGTATTGAAAAGTTTCCAATTCTTTAATTTTCCTGAATTGTTTCTGCAGGATAAAATCGCGAGTCATTTTTGTGGAGAAATCACAATTGAAAAAGAAAAATATGGATATATATAGATATATATAGATATATAGATAATTGCGACATATTTTCAGGTCATTTGAGCGTAGTTTCCTCTTTGATAGATGCAGGAGCATCCATTAACTCAAGGAAACCCAGTTTTTTAGATTTTTTTAAAATTTAATTTTTAGATATTTAGATTTTTTTTTTTAGATTTCTGAATTTCAATATATGTGTTTCAAGATTTTAGATTTTTAGATTTTTAGATTTTTAATTCATGCGTGTAGTCATTGTTAACAGTAATCCCCTTAAACCCATGGAATAGGAGGATGACAGGAAATGTTGTCATTAAGAAAATAGTTTTACTTATGGCTTCAAATTTATTTATAAAGTCGAATGGAAAGTTCAAACAGCACAACTGCTTTTTAATTTATGAATTGAATTATTTAAAATCGATTTTTTTGTCTTGAAGTCGCCGTGGTATACCATAGTTATATGGGAACCAAACAATTACATTTGATGAAGATGGGTTTTTTAAGTACGTCTAAAAATGTTCAGAAATTTCAGCGTTCTTAATTTATTTTAAATTAATTAGCAAATGTAAAAGTAAACAGCGACGACATTTAGGTTAAATTTTCTGTAGTAACTCACATGGTTTCTCAGGATGGGAGGAAGGCAACCCACCCAAATATCACAATAAAATGGATATTGCGCGATGAACTTGCCTCTATAGACTCCGACGAGGGGAGGAAGGCCAGCCACAACAACTTCTCGTCTGAGCCACATTTTCCTCATTTTCTCGTTCGAACCACCTTGAAATCCTCTTACTTCGATTTTTATGTGTTGAAAAGTTTCTAATTCTTGAAGATAAAACTACTTCTAACAAATCTGGGTGCGTTAGGGCATAAAATATGTATAAACTAAAGTATTGCAATGATTAAATCATGTTTGAAACTTTAGAGATATGAGAATGAGGTCAAACTTTATTTAGTTAAAACTTAAAACTCTTCTGCCTCCGTAATGGCTTACTTTTCTCGATATGAAATAAATAGAAAAAAATTGGCATACCTCTGCCTATAATTCTCCCATGGAACCACCCAGAAAAAAAATCTATGGTTTACACTATAATTAAGAAAAAGGATTAAAGTTCTATAATCTCGAAATTATTTGCGGCATTCTATACCAGGAATATCTGAAAATGCGCGTAAAAAAGGTGAACATTTTTAAGGACATAGAACTCGAAAACTTTAATTCAATTGAAGATTTTTTTTTCAATTTATTAAAATTCAATATTTTATTTATGCCCTAACGTGGCCCGATTCTTAAAAAATTGTTTTATCCTGGAGGACTAGACACTTGAAAAATAATGTTGGAAGGACGAGGATTTCGAGGTGGCTCGGACGAGAAAAGGAGGAGAACTTGGCTTGGACTAGAAATTGTTGTGGCTGGCCTTCCTCCCCTCCTCCAACCCACACCCGTTTTCCCTTACGGCAAAACATACTGCATTCGTCTATAATTAGCATACAAGGTACGACACGGAAGGGCAAACGGATGTGGGTCGGAGTCTATACGGGAAAGTGAAGGCTGTAAATACCATTTTGTGACGTCATTTGTGGGTAGGAGATGAAACGGGTGAGGGTTGCCTTCCACCTATCCTTTGAGAAATGGCGGATCATGATTTAAAAATTATATTTATAAATAATTTTGAAAGCTGCAATGAAAAACAAGGAAAATTTGGGTAATATTTTATCGTCAATATTTTAAAATGCACAAGGCTTTCAGACAGGCCTGTTAGCAAAAGCTGCAAATCTTAAAAAGACGACATCTAGTGTTTAATCTGTATTGTTAATTAATCTACGGTATCACCATAACCGTAAAGCTGAGCCCTGTAAACTTTGTTAAATAAAATATTTAAACTGGTTCAGAAATAGCAAAGGAAACACTCCTGCACACACAGGCATATATCCTTTAGATAAATAACTGTGTCAAAAAAATATTTAGTTTTTACTATCCAGGGGGTGTCCTCTTAAAAGGGGGATTTTTTGGCGCTTTCACTATATAATGGACTGATTCAAGCTCGGTGTATTTTCCACAGGCGGTTTAATTTCTGCCTATAGTTAAAAATATCCCATTTAAAATTTCTAGTGATGTATTTCTTTGTCAATGGGGTTGGGCCCTTTTCTGTATTGATGGTAGGTTTTCATAAAGGATTATTATTCCCAGCTGCATTGAACGGACATACAGCTGTATTGGAAGAATTTCTTGCTGCAGGTAGGATCAATTGTTGTGTCGAGGCACACTACCTTCAACTGTCCATTCTAGATTATAATATCTGTTTAATAAACAACATGGGACAAACTGTCTTTCATTTGTAGTTCTGTTTCTAGATTATGATACTGTTTAATAAACAACATGGGACATGTCCTTTTGTTTCTAGATTATGATATCTGTTAAATAAACAACAGGGGACACAATGTCTTTCATCTGTCCTTCTGTTTCTAGAAACACACTGTCTTTCATCTGTCCATCTATTTCTAGATTATGATATCTCTTTAATAAACAACAGGGGACACTTCCTTCATCCGTCCTTCTGTTTCTAGATTATGATATCTGTTTTATGAACAACATGGGACACACTGTCTTTCATCTGTCCTTCTGTTTCTAAATTATGATATCTGTTAAATAAATAACACGGGACATACAGTTTTTTATCTGTTCTTCTGTTTCTAGATTATAATATCTGTTTAATAAACAACATGGGACACACTTCCTTCAACCGTCATCCTATTTCTAGATTATGATATCTGTTTAATAAATAACATGGGACATACAGTTTTTTATCTGTTCTTCTGTTTCTAGATAATGATATCTGTGTAATAAACAACATGGGACACACTGTCTTTCATTTTATCTATTTCTAGATTATGATATCTGTTAAATAAACAACATGGGACACACTTCCTTTAACCGTCCTTCTATTTATAGATTATGATATCCATTCAACAAACAACATGGGACACACCGTCCTTCATTTGTCCGCTGTGGCAACACAAAGTGAGGACTGTCTTCAACTTCTTCTAGCAGAGGTAGGACGAGAATGATTTTTATTTTCATTTTTAATTTAAAATGATTCCCTAATCTGAAAGTTTTTTAACACTCATTTAAGATGAAAGTTTATCTTTACTTTATTCTCCTAAGTAAAAAATCCTGAATGTATTTATTGCCCCCAGACAGTTATATAAACACAGAGAGGTAGGGAAGGCAAACCACAACAATTTTTAATCACATCGCAAAACATGATACGCGGCAAATGCATTGATTAATTTGTAATGATTTACCGCTACTGTTTGTAATGTCTATCGGAATTTATTATTTGTTGGATATTTTAAATTGTCGCGGTACATCATTCAATATTTTTGCGGTATGACTACACATTGTTGGGGTTTGCCTTTACTCCCTCCTACAGATCACGTTACCCAGAAACATGTGAAAAATACTTTATTTATAAAGAGAATGATGAGAGTAGAAAATAAAAGATTAAATATTCATCTAAAAACCCTAGTCAGTTAACATTTTTGTACAGATATAAGGGGAACACTCAGACAGGGTGTTAAACTAACGGACTTTAAAAATGTTTAACAGACTGTAAATGGGCTGTAGATGTAATCTAAGCGACTCTTTATGAATATACAGGGTGTCCCAAAAAACATGGGAATTCAGTGACGAATTGGCTAACGTCTTTGTTATGACAAAGCATTGTAATACCTAATTTCAAAAGCCATAATATTGTTATATCTGTTAGAGTTTATTTTATGAAAAGGGAAAAAGACTGTAAAGATATGCCTATAAAGTCTCCGCAAGATGAACAGTTTAGACAGACAAGTTTACTCTGTTTGTATACTGCAATTTTCTTGTTTTCCTAAGTACAACCGTATGCAGTCAAAACATAAACAAACAAATTGTAAACAAAGCAGACAAAACTCTTGCAGATTACAGCTTTCTCAGTAGGTACCAATATACTAAATCAAAGAATTATTTGAAAAGACGATATCAAATTTGTCACTGAATTCCCATGTTTATTGGGACACCTTGTAGTTGCTTGCTTAAATTACAAGAGTTCATGTAAAAGCTTTGTTCAGAAAGCAGAAGCATTGTATTTCTCAACAACCCCTGGTTGGAATCACCTTCTCATGAACATAGTTCAACATTTGTATTTCATAATATCATTTTGTACTACAAAATGGTTTATCTGGCCTTGAAAATGGTTTTAAAAGAATCAAATTAACGTGTGTGATGTCCTTTCTTAGACATAAAAATTAAAACCTGATACTCATGCGTTTATACTTTTTTTGCGTTTACATAGAGGGTTACATAATACATAAAAATTGTAAAACCTGGAGAAAAAAATAATTAAATAAATTTAGGAAGAAACCAATAAATTTCGAGAAAACGGACTGTCCTTTTTCATTCTTTCCTAAAATAGCTTTTGCCAAACTGTTTTTAAAACTGATGAATACTAAATCTTTGATGGCACTTTAATTCAACGAAAAGATGACGATTGTTTAGTGAACAAGTTTGTTAGAAAAAATCGTTCGTTTTAAAAATGACATTTTCTCAAAATCTTTCGGAAAATTCGTTGTTTCCGTTAAAAAAACGATAGTTTTTTCAATCATTCACAAAAAATTTGTTCGTTTACAATTTAACGATGCCCAGCTCTTGGTATAACAAGGTTCCATTGCTTACTTAATTCCTGTACAGTGTACTCCCTGATTATGTTAATATAGGACTGTTTGAAAATTAATAAAAACATTTCCTATCTTTCCAATTTTGGGAGGGAAATCTGTTCCGTGGATTTCCTTACTGATTTATGGAAATATGAGTCTACTTTACGATTTACGAGTTTCTGTAAGTAATTGGTCATAAGCCATTTATCATGAACACTATAAGTAATCTACTCTATGAGAACAGCATAATAGATTTGCACTTGATTAAAGAAAACTCAACTTATAATTTTAAGATTTAGATATATTTCTTAGGCCTTGCAGCACTTCAATGTTATTTTTATAACCGTAGACTGTAGTGTACAATGTGCAGGGTGCAGATGTGCATAGGAAAGCTAGAGATGGGAGAACCCCTCTGCACATGGCAGCAATTCATGGACGTTTATCCAGGGTTCAAGCCTTATTATCTCATCAAGCTTCGGTAACTTATATTTGATATTTATATATTTAAAAAGTATAGTAATCTCTGATTGTCTATATTTCCAACTAAAACCATGAAACCCTTCACTGATTTGGCTCAAATTTACGTAAGACTACACACCTTGGGTATCTGCTCAGCTAGAGTAAGTCCTCCTGGTTCAGTCCGAGCGCGTGTGTGCGCCTGGTCTCGTCTAGGTGAGGAACAGGGTGATAAGCAAGGAGAGGGACCACCTGGTACCGCACAAGCAACAGGAACAGGTGCGCTTCTGGATCAGTCCTCTGGGGTTTCGAGAAGAACGAGAAGAGACGAAGATCAAACTTGTATACGAATAAACACAGAAAGGCCTTAAGGTACATCAGTATCTGGAAAAAGTACACTGCTAGAGCATGTTAAAGAAAGATAGACAAGGACATAATAAAGATCTAAAAGTATCAGACATATATCGGTGCCATCCTGGAGGATTCTAGAGGAGATCAGGAGAGATAGTGCAGCCATGAATGGAACCTAGATAAAGGTTGTGTGAATGGGGTGGCGTTAGAACCAAGGGCATTTACTCAGCTTAGATTGCAAATTATAAGATGCATTGGTTAGAGTTAAAGCGACAGTTTAGTTTTCAAACAAAAGTGGGTTCCCAAGCTAGTGTGTGGCTTTAAATCGATCGCACAAGAAGTTTATAAACAGGGAAATGAAATTAACCGTTATGACAAATACATGGAAAAAAGTTACATTTCATATCTAAAGGCTGGTCGCCAAAAAAAATGTCCGTTAGTTTTAGGTCCTCAAACCATTAAAAATTGAACAAAATTAACCATCAAATCGGCAATTTTTTTATTTTAGTACATGTAACAGAGAAAATATTAAAACATTCCTTGATAAATTCTGATTTCAGATTTGCTCTCACGAGCTATATATACCCTGCTGCCAAGCTAAAGAGATCTTATTAAAAGATAATCCGGATTTCGACTCTCATCAGAACCATTAAAAAACTAAACACAAGTTATTTTTAGCAGACTGATCCTATATTTTCCATTCAAAAAAAAAAAGTTCGGTGTGATTTTCAATTAAACCTAAAACCTAAATTTTTCGTTTGTGAAGTATACTAGTTACGGTGATGTACATAAGATATCCACATATGATGATAACTAAATTTGTTTCTATTAAACAATTCAATCTTTTAGTTGGTACCTATTTGATAAGGCAAAAAGAGGAAACAATTTTGCAGTTGCAGAGAACCAACAATGTGAGAAAACATTCTTTATAGCAGTGCTTAGGATCCATTACATTTTGATGCGGATCCGGATCCTGGATCCGCACTGGAAAAAAAATGGATCCGGATCCAGGTCATTTCCTTACTGATTGACTGAATTTTTTAACAAAAAATTATTTTCAAAATATTTGTTTATTTTTTTCGCTTATTTTTATCCTAAAGCTTGATTAACCATTCAAAAATGAGGAAATTTTTTATAATCTCTCTTTTTTTTAAAGTAAAGATTTGGGTTTTAGGAGTAAACAAGGTTTTTTTTGTAGTTTTTGGTTGATATTTTACCCCTTGGATCCGGATCCGTGGATCCGTATATTTTTGCGGATCCGGATCAATCAAGCCAAAATCTTGCGGATCCAACGGATCCGGATCCTAAGCACTGCTTTATAGTCTCATAGTTTGTTAGTAACCCTGATACAAAAAAAAACATTTTTTTCAATAAAGAAAATATTTCATATGATGAATGAAACAATTTAATGGGAGGGGGCGGGGGGGGGAGGGATGGAATTGGTATTTTAAGAAACTATACACCCTGTATTTGATGTTAGGTGACTGAATGTGACGTGTCCGGACAGACCCCGTTACATATTGCTGCGTTCCATGGACATCAGCTCCTGTTAAATCTTCTCACGTCGCAGGCAATATTCTAGACTAAGTGCCAGATTTTTTTTTCTTTATGAAAGTAACTAAGTGCCAGATTTTTGTTGTTGTTATGAAAGTAACTAAGTGCCAGATTTTTTTTTCTTCATGAAAGTAACTAAGTGCCAGATTTTTTTATGTTAGTAACTAAGTGAAAGATTTTTTCTTCATGAAAGTAACTAAGTGAAAGATTTTTTTTTAACTGTTTTAACTAAAACTATGTAATTTAAATTATTAATGTTATATTTCCATGAATAATCTAACCAAAGTTCCATTCATCTATTTATTTAAATAACTCCAATCGAAGTACGAGCCTTATTATAACCTAGGATGATCATTTTAGGAAAGTTTGTTAAACGGGACAATTCAATAAGTTTCTTCAAATGAGTTTGGAGTATTGGGTTTTTGATAAACCAGTTGTGGGCCATGATAAGCTGGGAGCTGCCGACCATAGCAGTGTTGATCAGGATGCACGGTTCGAGCCAATCCTATCCATCTTCGGGACTGAGTCCTGCTGACTATATACTTTTAGTTATAGTATTATTAAAATTCATGAAAGTAACAAAGTAAAAGATTTTTTTATGAAAGTAACTAAGTGAAAAAAATTTTTTATGAAAGTAACTAAGTGAAAAAAAAATTTTAATGAAATTATCTAAGTGAAAGATTTTTTTCATGAAAGTAACTAAGTGAAAAAAAATTTTAATGAAAGTAACTAAGTGAAAGATTTTTTTCATGAAAGTAACTAAGTGAAAGATTTTTTTATGAAAGTAACTAAGTGAAAGATTTTTTTTTCTTCATGAAAGTAACTAAGTGCCAGATTTTTTTTTCTTCATGAAAGTAACTAAGTGCCAGATTTTTTTTTCTTCATGAAAGTAACTAAGTGCCTGATTTTTTTATGAAAGTAACTAAGTGAAAGATTTTTTTTTCATGAAAGTAACTAAGTGAAAGATTTTTTTTCATGAAAGTAGCAAAGTAAATGAAGTTTTTTTATGAAAGTAACTAAGTGAAAGAATTTTTTAATGAAAGTAATTAAGTGAAAGATTTTTTTCATGAAAGAAACTAAGTGAAAGATTTTTTTTTCATGAAAGTAACTAAGTGACAAATTTTTTTCATGAAATTACATTTATTTACACTGACTGTTCTTTGTGAGAAAATCAGGGATGATCAAGGTTAACAATGTTGCTCAGAATGAGCAATGAAAAAAAAAACTAAAAAGTCCAGAAGCGCCATGAATTATTAACGTTTGAAGAATATGATTTCACAGAGTGATGTAGATGTAAAGAAGGAGGTTAATAAAAGAGATATGTTGGGACGAACCCCTCTTCATCTCAGCTCGTTGTCAGGTAGGGATCATCCTGAAGGAGGGAGGTAACCACCCCTCGTCGCGTCGGTCCAGTTTTCAGGATCAATCCCCCCTCCAGGATCTACATTCAAGATTTATTATTTTATATGGGAATTCAGTTTGTAGATCAAATGTTTCTTTGGCATTAGCTTTAAAGTCTAGTTCAGTTTTTGGCAAAAAAAAACATAGATACACACGTTTTAGACGTCAATTGAGATCTTAAGTGTAGGTTGAATATTTTTTAGATTTATACAATTTCACTTCACAAATAAAACGGTTAACCATCATTCCAAAAAAAATTAAAATTAAGGGTTAAGCTCTAGTTAATTACCGCGCCCACCTCTGAGAGAGCATTTACTTTAAGTTTGTAATTAAGTTTAAAAGTGTTTAATCTTTCCACTGAAAGTTTCAACCTGAAGTAAAATAAAAACGTAAAATATGAAACTTCCGAGATATTTTATGGAAACTGAAATTATCGAAATTAAGAATACTGAGCAGTATTTTAAATATGCAAGAATTCGGGATTATTTAATTACTTCTCTTATGACGTCGACACGTGTTCTAGAGAAGGAGCTAGTATTTAAACTATGCAAGGGTTCAGGATTATTTAATTACTTCTCTGATGTTGTCGACACGTGTTCTAGAGAAGGAGCTAGTATTTAAACTATGCTCGGATTCGGGATTATTTAATTACTTCTCTGATGTTGTCGACACGTGTTCTAGAGAAGGAGCTAGTATTTAAACTATGCTCGGATTTGGGATTATTTAATTACTTCTCTTATGTTGTCGACACGTGTTCTAGAGAAGGAGCTAGTATTTAAACTATGCAAGGATTCTGGATTATTTAATTACTTCTCTTATAATGTCGACACGTGTTCTAGAGAAGGAGCTAGTATTTAAACTATGCAAGGATTCAGGATTATTTAATTACTTCTCTTATGTTGTCGACACGTGTTCTAGAGAAGGAGCTAGTATTTAAACTATGCAAGGATTCGGGATTACTTCTTAAGAGAAGGAGCTGAACTAGCCCTAACTAGCTTAAGTTCTTATCGCTATCAACTGAATCATATCTGAATTCCCGTGACAAAACTTTAGTATACTAGGCTTCTATTTCAAGGTCAGCATTTTATCTTTGTATACATTGTAAAACAAAAACAAAAAAAGTTAGCGGATTTTGTAAAGAAAATCACGGATTTTTTATTCATTTAATGAAAATCGATTTTGCTGGAGGCTAATTTTTAAATTTTGATCATCAATAAACCTTCCTTGGGGTCATGTGAGGTCACACACAAAATTTAGGCCTGATCGGTTCAGCCGTTTTTAAGTTTATTTAATATAAACTGACAGACAGACAAGCAAAGTATATTTATAGATTCACAATTTACAAATATTTGATATTAAATTAAAGGATATGTGGATACATGCAAGAAGATTCTGGAACTTGGAGGAATTATAGATGCTGTAGATGAAACGGGAAGAACTGCGCTCCACATGTGTGCATTTAAAGGAACAATTCGTATTCGTTGCCGTTGTCCTGTCCTTGCTGGGTACTTCATTTCGGTCTTAAACATAAACGTTTCATATTTTAATATGTTCTTTTACATTTTACATATTTCTCACATGTGCTAGGCATAAAAGTCTATTTTTAATTCTTAGAACGGAATATTTTTTTTACATTTGTTACGTCCAATACTTTCATAATATATAGTATTGTGGGGAAAGTGTCCAAAATGTCAAAACTATATAAAAAAATTTTGTTTTTTGAAAATCGCCATTTTTAACAGAAATTCATGTTTTGAAATTATGAAAAAAGCAGGTTGCCCGATATAAGAAGTTTTTTGACCTATTTTGAATTTGAATTGTTTGCACCAGGAAGCATTGAGACATTGGATTATCTCATATCTTCAGGGGCAGACTTTACTATTACTGATAGGTAATTACTAATCACAACGAGTTTCTGGGTATTTTTATGAAAACTAAAAAACCCTGAAAGTTGGACAAACTCAGGAAACCTTATTGTTAACTCCTGTGTTAAACCCAATCTGAGGGACCATATTTGAACCAGTTTTATTGTAAATAAAAAGCAACATTTAACGGACAATGATTGCATGCTCAGTCCCGGTCCGATCCATCCTTGCTCGGGTTGGGTTTTTTTAATAATATTATATTTACTGTAGGGCTGGGAGGTTAGCCTTACACTACAGTGCCTTAAACTACCATCTAAGTTGTATAGAAACATTGGTTTCTAATGGTTCCTTCGTAGACCATCAAGACAGGTAAAGGAAGGAGGCGTATANCTCTCCACTTGAATATTCCCCTGTTAATGTGCACTTCTCTCCACTTGAATATTCCCCTGTTAATGTGCACTTCTCTCCACTTGAATATTCCCCTGTTAATGTGCACTTCTCTCCACTTGAATATTCCCCTGTTAATGTGCACTTCTCTCCACTTGAATATTCCCCTGTTAATGTGCACTTCTCTCCACTTGAATATTCCCCTGTTAATGTGCACTTCTCTCCACTTGAATATTCCCCTGTTAATGTGCACTTCTCTCCACTGTCCTCATGCCGAGAGAAATAGAACAAACAACAAACCATAAAAAAAATGTTAACAAAGTTTCCTTTAAAATAGTTTTCTTGAATAGTTCTGTTTCACATATATTTGCGTATGCAAATTTTGTTACTGTAGATTTCACTTTATTGAAAAAACGTTTTATTCAATTTTTTGGAGTAATGTCTTCACTAAAAAAATAAAAAAAATTCGTTGTTTTTATTAAAATTATTACATAATTTTGCAACAAAAATTAGATTTTATGCCAATTTTCTTCCCTTTTTTCCTTCTTTCTTTCATTTTTCGTTTCCTCTTTTTCATTTTCTTCTTTTATTGTCTTTGATAGTGTGCCCCTCCCCCCCTCAATCGATGTTAAAAGGGGGTACACTTGCCCCTGTGCCCCCCCCCCTTAGCTGCTGGCCTGGGATGATGAGGGAGATATATAGAATATCTGTCTATCTATCTATCAGGGATGGATTGACTGCTCTGCATATAGCCTGCTGTAATGATGAAGAGGGAGGATGTATAGAATATCTGTTGGGACATAAAGCAACTCCGTCCATTACCGATCTCAAGGAATCAATCAATCAACTTATACACCTGGACTAATGAATATCAAGACATATTTGAACCGCAAAGGGGTGGTTCAACCACTTCATGTCAACTAGAAGCAGCGCACAAGAGAGGTGGTTCAATATACGTCTCACTATTCATGTAATCTGATCCTAGATGATTGAGGAATTAGTGATGGCATCAATTTAAGGTCCTTCTCTAAAAATTCAAAGTTTTTTTTACTCCACATGAATCTCAGATGTATATCCTATTTCAAAATTGCATGCTTTCATTACATTATGCATGATTGAATACTTTGGGCAAAACGATTGGTAAAATTGACTAATTAATTATGATGTTCAGGGAAATATTTTCCATATTGTAATAAAATCAAACTTATCATAAATCATAAATGACTATTTATTGATCATTTAAGATTCTTTTAGAGCACCTTTGAATTAAAAAAAAGTTAAACAGAAAGCTCAAAACGATGATCAAGTGGGGAATGCTCTAATCTAGATAAAAGAAATCAGGTCAAATTTATGCAGAAGTACTGTTACGACTTTGCGACTCCTTCAGTTCTAAAAAATAAATTTTTGAATTGAATTTTAATGTTTGAATCTGTTTTTATTTGTTACTTTGAAGGCTAATTTATTTAAAATTCTATGTTCTGTGGATTGACTTTCATAGATAAAGTTTAGTTTCCAGGTCAAGCTGGGTTGAAGAAATGATTGATTGATTGGTCAGGGTATGAATGCCCTCCACTACGCCGCTGTATCTGGTAACTGTGCTGGGGTGATCAATATTCTGGAGTTTGGCGGCAGTGAACTATTCTTTAACAGGTAATCAAGCAGTGCTTAGGATCCATTTTATTTTCATGCAGAGATTCCTCATGTAAGATTTACTGATTTTTATCAACAGAAATAGAATTTTGAAATTAATTTTCTTTTTTTCACGTTATTTTATGAACCATTCAGATATAAAAATTTTTTTAATAAACTCTTTTTACCTCAGTTCAAATTTGGTTTATAAGTGCAAAAAAAAATTTTACAGTTTTTGTTGATATTTTGCCCAAGAAGTCAAGGCACTATTAGAAAGTAAAAACTGTGCACTTTTCAGCTTTTAGCGTCTCTCAATTATATTTTCAGCGTCGGAACAATAGAAGTGCATGTATTGTTTATACGCCACCCCAAACACAGAAATAATCAAATTGTAGTCTATAGTTTTTGAATTTATGATCATCAACAAACCTGTGAAGATGAAATAAAACAATTATTAGTATTACATATTTATAAACTGTGATGAATGGTAAAATGTTACCAGATAAACTTATTTCACAGAATACACTAAAATCCAATATTTCAATATGTGATTTCTTGTGAAATGTTACGACTAGTTAAAAAGGATTTGAAACACCCTATGAGAACTTTAAAAAAGCTTAAAACATATTTTTATAAAGGAGCATGAGAATAGTTTACGGAATACAACTGTGTTCCAAGCTTTCTAAAAAAATCTATCATTTGATGGTGGTTTGGTTCTTTCTCACGCTAATTCAAATATCTTTTGTTGGTGTTTATCAGGTTCAATATGTAGATCTCCGTGTACACAGTTTAACTCTCCTGTGAATGGAAAAGACTATAACAACTAGTTGTGGATAATTACTGAGTTGATGTAGATTAGGTTTATTAGGAGTTGATGTAGATTATTTTTATTAGATAACCTTTTAATCGTGTCCTGTGAACACTGCGGACTGCAATTCTTCCTTTTATTTCCGTAGGATGAATGCATGTAGATCAGGATATTTCCGTAGGATGAATGCATGTAGATCAGGATATTTCAGTAGGATGAATGCATGTAGATCAGGATATTTCCGTAGGATGAATGCATGTAGATCAGGATATTTCCGTAGGATGATTGCATGTAGATCAGGATATTCATGAATTAGTTTAAAGTCAGGTCTGGAACGATCATTTCTTCAAAGAATAATTATTGAATTATCAGGAGTATTATTCACATTCAGGAATTGGATCTAGGTTCAATCCCTCAAGAGCACAGTAGTAGTTTTAAAGAAACTTCCAGTCGTGCTCAAATTCTTAAGCCTACAAAGGAGTTATTGTTTATCAAATGTTTATCTTAAGTTATATTTAAAACTGTGTGCTGTAGATCACCGTGAGATCCCTCTAGATCACCGTGAATTCTTTGTTAAAAACCCGACTGGGAGCGTAGATGGGTGAATTTAAGATTTATCAAACTGTAGAAAGGAAGCTCTGATCAGATATTTCATATCAGTCCTGTTCCGTAGCTAAAGATCAATCAGTTGAAATCACGTTTCAACGTCATTTATCTTCTCCATTTATGAATACACTTCAATGAGTTCTGTTTATTGACCTGCTTGTGCTTGTGAGACAACCCTAGCCTCTTTTTAATAACTAAAACGTACCTTGAACGTTATTTGAACAACGGATCACTTATTAAGATAAGATTAGGGACTCAGGGATTCTTAATGATCTTGATCTCCCATGATCATCTGCAACATGACGATCGTTATATTTTGAGCGAAGCTTTGGGATTAAATATTAAATGTTTACAAGTTTACATATTTAAAAATGTGCCAATATTATTATTAGTGTTTTAAAATACAGATTAAAATCACATTCTGATATTAATATAACTTGAAGATTGACGGGATTAAAGGAAATGTTCTCGATTATTTAATCCTGCATATTATTCTTAGGTGAATCACACTAGTTCAGCCTTCTTCTTTCAGTCTGCAGTTTGTCCTAATATAATAGTTCAGATTTTACAGAAATGATTTCTCATTTATTTCAAAAGCAGGGGAAATATCTGATAGAAATTGCTCCTGGGTAAGGGGGCGGGGGGGGGGAGGCTTTTCAGCAAAATATGAAACGCTGAGAAAAAAATTATGTTTTATTATGGTAGGAGTTCCCCTGAAGAACAGACTACTCCCCTTCATCTAGCAGCATTCAATAATCATAGGAACAAACCATAGTTTCTTCAAATACAGTGTTCACCGTTTATATTAATACATTGAAGACTACTTTTCTATTTAAATTTTGATTTCTAAAAAGTTAAAAGTAGACAAAGAGAAACTGTTAATTGAGCCCTACTCTTTGTGTTCATGTTTGCATCCATGCTGTTTGAAAGCTTAGTAAAAACTGTAGTTGAATTATAAAATCTTTAAAAATATTAAAGAGAGAAGCTCATTCATTTTTTAATTAAAGTTAGACTAAGTTTTTAATGATAAGCTTCTTTATAAGTGGGATGTGACTTGAAGTTTTGCTCCTTTACAATTCATAAATTTTAAAAAGAAAAATGTCGAACTTGGAACTTAAAAGAAATTAGTTTAAAATTAAGTGATGCTCTGGTGATCCTGGTTTCAAAGTTTAAAAATGTGAATGTGGAGGACGGACTAGGGAGATCCCCCTTGTATCTGGCCAGCTATAGAGGTACAGGGTGTCCATTTATACATGTACCTATAAGAACAAAATTTACACCCTGTAGAACAACTGAAGTGTCCCCAAATACAAATAGTATCATTAAAAACAAGGTCTTTTAACAAAACCCTAAAAAACACCCTGTATTTTATTTTAACAAATTTTTTTTTTCTTACCATTTGAATATAAAGCATTGAAATATTTTGCTGCTATATTAACTAGGGTTTCCAGCGAATCTTTTCCCCGAAATATTCGCATTTTTTCGCATCTCATTCGCTTGCGAAAATATTCGTGTTTTTTGCGAAATTACGTCTTATTCTGTTTTGCGAAAAATAAATTCTGGAAAAATGGCGAAAGTTTTGCGGGGAAAAAAATATGAAAGAAAATTTTTTTTAATGATATAATAAAACTTCTAATGCTCAGCTCTCAGAGCAAAGAATTCCTTTTTTTCGCGGCAAGTTTTTCAATTGTTGCAGTTACAAAACTTATGGTTTTCGCGGAATGTTTTTTTTCGTAAAATTTCGTTTCGGTTTCACATTTTTTCGCTTAATTCATATTTGCGAAAAAATGTGATATTTCGCGAAATGTATGCGAAATACGAGTGAAAATGTTCGCATTTTTTCGCGAACGTTTTCGTGTGCTGGAAACCCTAATATTAACATATCTGTAGTTAATAAATGATAAGATTTTTACGATATTCATAAAACTACTTCTTTCTAACGTGGGGGGGGGGGGGTGCACACAAGATATAACCCCGGAATATTGTAAATACAGAAATATATTTTTATTTATCTATTTATTATATTAGGAGCGACGGAGTGTGTTTCTATTCTAATGGAACAAGGTGATGGTAAAAACTTTGTTTAAACTTTTATGAATGAAAAATGTTGTGTTAAAGGTGAAAAGGTGGTTTTACTTAACTTCTTATTCTAGTCTTAATTTAGTCACTTCTAGTGTGGAAGTATAGCGACCCAATGAGTTGGATTTGATTTGATTTGATTTGTTAAATTAGCAGAAGAAGCATATGTAAATATTTGTTTTTATTTTGACAGTGCATATTTAAATATTCTTCTATGCATATTGCATATTGTGCTCTTGACCTCATGCAAAAAAACATTTTGCAAAAAATTTGTTAAAATAACAGTTTCTCTTCCAGAATTTGTTGATCATGAAAGCCTAAAAGGTCGGGTTTAGTTTTTTTTATTACAGGAGATTATTTTGGAATTGGGAATACATCATGATTTAACTTGATATAAATTGAGATCGGGATTTGATTTGGGATTTAAATTGGTACTAGGCATTGGGATTCAATTGGGACTTGGAAAATTCTATTGGGAGAATTACTTGAAATGGTTTGAGGGATGATTTTGGGATTGGAAATTGAATTGGGATTTACTAAATAGACATATAAATTATTTGTGCAGGTGCTCATGTTGCAACTTATAACAAAGAGGATGGCCGAACCCCGGTACACGTAGCTTCTTCACAGGTCCCGTAATATATTTAATAGTAGGCTTTTAGGGATCTTCGCGCCCATCTTCTATTTTAATTGTTAAAATGCTCCCTTTGTGTACATTTTAAAACAAAACAAAATTTCGCGGATTTTATAAAGATTTCGTGGATTTTATAAAGATTTCGCGGATTTTATAAAGATTTCGTGGATTTTCAAAAGTTTCAAAAATAGAATTTTAATGGGAGTCAAATTTTTGAAATTTTATTTTCCATAAACCTTCCCTGGGGTCACACGAGGTCCACAGCAAATTTGGGCCCGATCGGCTCAGACAGACATGCAAAGTATATATAGATTTAAAGTGTTTAATTCCTTTATGTTTTCTGGCACTTTTGTAGAGAGCCCACAATTAAAAATAATCGGTTTTTAAATTATAAACATATTGATATCTAATTTATACTTCATCTTAAAGTTTGGTTTGATTTCTGTTTTTGTGTAGGGTCATGTTGACACTGTGAAACTACTGCTGGAGAATACAGAAGAAGCAAGTGTTGTTGATTCTACGGATCTGAGTAAGCTTTTAAGGGATTGTTCATCATTCTTGGTAGAGTGACGTCCTAATAATTTTTCCGTATTTTTATCATTCTGGGATTACTAAAATGTAGTTAAGTTAAATATATTCTGAAAACGTATCCACCCCTAAAGTAGGAGTTTTTTAACGTCGAATTTGCGCTCAAACTCAGGATTTACAGATCTTTAAAAAGTTTAATATGTCTCAAATGAGTCCTTGCCACAACACTGCATACTCAGTTCAATTACTTTACATAGCCGGTCACTCCCTTTAAGATAAAATCGAAGGTTTTGACTTGTTTGACTATTTTTAAACTGAAATTTGTTACTTTGTTTTTTAACAAGGGATTGGCATGAGATCATTTGTGGTTCAAAATATAATATTATTATATAAATGTACTTTTTTCAAATTTTCTAGATTTTTTATACGAAAGAAATTTTAAATCGACTAATTTAACCTTTTGAGAAAAACAGTATTTTCGCGATTTAAGTAACAAAATATAAAACTAGAGTTAAAAATAGATTTTTCTTAAAGCGTCGAAATTTGTTAATGAGTTTTAAACCATGATAGATTAGACTAGATAGCTCATGTCGTCTTCATTGAAATATTCTGTATATAAAACACTCATGTGGACCAAGCAGTAAACGATAAACTTTTAAATCATATTTAATAGATTGTAAGACAGTTACATTCACCAATTCACCCCGTAACATTGTTTGTATACAATGACCTGTACCATATCTGGATTCTGGGTTTATGGTACAAAGGGGAATCTCCACGAAATTTGATATTGTTATTATTTGAAAATTAAGGAAGGCCTGTAAATAGATCAACTTTAAAAAGCTATATTACCAAAAAGATAGGTGCGAAGCGCCCTTTGAAACGTGTAATAAAAACCGTCACCATCTTTTGTCATTAAACCCGATTTCTCCTTTAAGTTTAAATGCTCCAAACTCAAAAATTCATTGCAAAGAAATATTCTAGATTCAATCGGGGTCTTTTTATAAAACTTTTACTTTTAATGTTGGATTTTGATATTTGAATATTAAGATGGGTGGACTCCACTGATGCTCGCCTGTCGGTCAGGGCATGTATCCTGTATCAAGCTACTGCTGGAGTATGGATGTAATGTCAAGTAAGTTTCATGTATCCTGTATCAAGCTACTGCTGGAGTANATAAACATAAAACATCAGAAATATATATTTCTGAATAATAATTATTTCTGAATAATTCTTTATTCCAACTGATGATTGGGTTAGACCCATGAAACATTTTGTCTTGGAAGAAATATATATTTAAACATCTAAAATGTATATTTAAACTGAAAAAGTTGAAAATACTATATATATATATTATATATACATATCTATATATTTGATTTAATCAGCTTGAATTATGTAGATTGGCTGATAATGAGGAAAGATCATCTATATATATACATATTTATATTCCAGTTTTTAACTTCACATTTTTATTAAAAAAAAGAATTATACTAAACATAAAGTTTCACGTCTATCATGACGATCCTCAGTAGTTACAATTCTTTGAACAACAATATTTATAGTCTAGATATAATCAGCTTGATTTATATTTATCCGCGGATAATGACGGAAGATCAGCTATATACGTATCTATAGTCTAGATATAATCAGCTTGATTTATATTTATCCGCTGATAATGACGGAAGATCAGCTATATATGTATCTATAGTCTAGATATAATCAGCTAAGTTTATATTTAGCGATTCATAATGAGGGTTTGATCAGCTGTATACGTATCTATAGTCTAGATATAATCAGCTAAGTTTATATTTAGCGATTCATAATGAGGGATGATCAGCTGTATACGTATCTTTAGTCTATATAATCAGCTAGGTTTTTATTTATCGGCTGAAAATGAAGGAAGATCAGCTATATATATATATTCTTGATATAATCAGCTTGAATTACATATAGATCGACTGATAATGAGGGAAGATCAGCTCTTTTTTGGTCACTTTCTTTCGGCCAGGAATCAGCCGCTGATGTTCTTATCCAACATTCTAAAAAGTAAGCTTAATATTTAAATATGTTATTTTTTTTTGCTTTGAAAAACATTTATTCAGTTATCCAGTTATACATAATTTTAATATTAATATCTAAGCAATCGGGTCCGTCTTGAGAACGATTTTTGGACCCTCCCCCCCCCCTTCTATCAATTTTGTACATTTACTTTTTTATTTCTGGGCCGAACGCTGCGGCTAGGATTGGCTATGGGACTGAGCGCTGCAGATAGCACAGGCTATCGGGCCGGTGCTTCGGCCACATGATCAATTTTACAAAATGTACAATATTGATAGGAGGGGGGGGGGGGGGGTCCAAAAATCGTTCTCCAGAAAATTATCAAACAATCCTTAGTTTTTGTAAAATGTAAAATTTAAAAAATTATGTTTTTAATTGATTTTATTTTACATTTTCAAATAATTTTAAAGAGAATCAATCTACAGGACAATCCTGAACTTTTTGTTTATGGATGCATGAGGTTTGAAAACCAGGGTGGTAGTCTAGCTTTAGATTAATAATAAAAATCTACTGTATCTGATGACCAGGGTAGGTTTCCACTCCATCTAGCGGCAGATTTATAAATATATATATTTGAAGGGATCTACTAGTATCTGATAACCAGGGTAGGAGTCCACTCCATCTAGCGGCAGGATCAGGACAGATAAATGTACTCTTCTCTCTCCTAGAGTTAGAACCCAGCCTTGCTAATACTCCTGACAAAGCAGGTTTTATTTTTTCCTTTCATACAATGATTTTTCTTCCAGGAATGACTTCCGTAATTTCANTTTTTTCAGGATATACTCCAATTCATTACGCTGCTTACCATGGGCAGGAGGGAGCCCTGGAACTTCTTCTGGAACATTTTAATGTAAGAAAAAACCTAACTTTTTCACTTTATAATTTTCTCAATTTTCTTGTAACATCATCTCCATTTTTAGAGTGTCATGGCTGATTCACATCGGTATCCTAATAGGTTGAATCAGATATTCATTTTTGTATAGCAAAAAATTGTTATTTTTAAATTTTAATAGTGAAATACATGTCCCACGTGAATTTAATGGTTCTGTCAATATTCCAGAAAGCTATGACTTCCGATCACAATTACTCCTATTAAACATAATTTTTCAGCCTTCTTTCTGAAATACTTTTTTGCCGGCGTATATGTTTTGAATATTTAACAAACAAATCCGTAACTTTAAAGATTGTTAAAATATAAACCAAAACGAGTATGATTTCAAATTGAAGAAACCGAATGCCTCTAACTCTGGTTAGTCGGGGGTGGTCCTTGGTTTCAATAAACCTTGCTATTTTAGATATCTAGTATCCACCCTTCTTCCTTTTCTCTCCGTTTTTAGAAGTCTGAAGACCTACGCAAAAATAACAATTCTGTCAAACTGTGGCCTTTTTAGGGCTCTTAAGGCTATCAAGAAATACTGGTTCTTGAGAGATTTAACTAACTGAAGGTTCTTGAAGGGCTTCAAGACTCGTGAGAACAAACTTGGCACTGGCAGACATTAGCTTCTATATCAAGTTCTAATCTCTGTTCTTGAAGGGCTTCAAGACTCATGAGAACAAACTTGGCACTGGCAGACATTAGCTTCTATATCAAGTTCTAATCTCTGTTCTTGAAGGGCTTCAAGACTCATGAGAACAAACTTGGCACTGGCAGACATTAGCTTCTATATCAAGTTCTAATCTCTGTTCTTGAAGGGCTTCAAGACTCATGAGAACAAACTTGGCACTGGCAGACATTAGCTTCTATATCAAGTTCTAATCTCTGTTCTTGAAGGGCTTCAAGACTCATGAGAACAAACTTGGCACTGGCAGACATTAGCTTCTATATCAAGTTCTAATCTCTGTTCTTGAAGGGCTTCAAGACTCATGAGAACAAACTTGGCACTGGCAGACATTAGCTTCTATATCAAGTTCTAATCTCTGTTCTTGAAGGGCTTCAAGACTCATGAGAACAAACTTGGCACTGGCAGACATTAGCTTCTATATCAAGTTCTAATCTCTGTTCTTGAAGGGCTTCAAGACTCATGAGAACAAACTTGGCACTGGCAGACATTAGCTTCTATATCAAGTTCTAATCTCTGTTCTTGAAGGGCTTCAAGACTCATGAGAACAAACTTGGCACTGGCAGACATTAGCTTCTATATCAAGTTCTAATCTCTGTTCTTGAAGGGCTTCAAGACTCATGAGAACAAACTTGGCACTGGCAGACATTAGCTTCTATATCAAGTTCTAATCTCTGTTCTTGAAGGGCTTCAAGACTCATGAGAACAAACTTGGCACTGGCAGACATTAGCTTCTATATCAAGTTCTAATCTCTGTTCTTGAAGGGCTTCAAGACTCATGAGAACAAACTTGGCACTGGCAGACATTAGCTTCTATATCAAGTTCTAATCTCTGTTCTTGAAGGGCTTCAAGACTCATGAGAACAAACTTGGCACTGGCAGACNAATCGCTTATCAGGCGACTTGTGACAGCTTTGATACAAGAGTTAACCTTGATACAAGTCTCAGCTTTGATACAAGTGTCAGCTTTAATACAAATGTCAGCTTTGATACGGTGTTAGCTTTGATAAAAGTGTATAAGTGTCAGCTTTGATAGGAGTCTCAGCTTTGATACAAGTGTAAGCTTTGAGGTCATGCTTAATTTTGAATGTCAGCTTCAATATGAGTGCTAACATTGATACGAGTGTATAAGCCTTTATGCGAGTGTAAGTTTTATACAAGTGTTAGTTTGATATGAGTGTTAGCTTTGATGTAGGTGTCAGTTTGATATGAGTGTCAACTTTGATACGCGTCTTAACTTTGATACAAGTGTCAGCTTTGATACGAGCGTTAGCCTTGATGTAAGTGTCAGCTTTGATACGTGTCAGCTTTGATTACTCTTATCAAAGCTGACACCTGTATTAATTTGACACTTGTATCAAAGTTAACACTCATATCAAAGCTGTCACTTGTATTGAAGTTTACACTCACATCAAAGCTGTCACTTGTATCAAATTTGACACTCATATCAAAGCTGTCACTTGTATCAAAGTTAACACTCATATCAAAGCTGTCACTTGTATCAAAGTTAACACTCATATCAAAGCTGAGACTCACATCAAACTGACATTATTATCAAAAGGCGTAGGCCTGGGTAATATTGGTCAAAAGGTGGTAAAAAAACTTATTGGTTC